ACCTTAACTGTGGCCTCAGTTATTGTCTAGATATCCACCTGAGGAGTAACAAGATGGTATCGGTGAGAGACGGTGCCTACAGCTGGTTTGATACCAGTAAGGTCGTGGAGGGCTTCACACCAACTCCTGGATTAAAGGTATGGCTTTACAACATGTGCAGAACTGTTGGAAGCACTTATTTTGCCTTGGAAAGAGGAACACACCATGAAATATGATTATGCTGTAGTAAAATTTCCAGACTTCTTTTAATTTTAATATTTTGTTCTAAGCCCCCTAAACATCCTCATTCATATCAAGACAGCATTTTAACTCAAAGCTGTACATTGTGTTCACAGACATTCCTCAACCACTTTGTTGAAGAGGGCGTTCCATCAGGTATGTCCCGCAGAAGGTCCACCACGGAGGACGACAACCCACCATCGCCTGTTGGCATGGACTCCATGGAGACATTCATGAACCAGCCCCAGCAGATAGGATCTCCCGTCAAGAAACAAGATGGCGGCAGTGGAGGGGGGTTGAGGTTTCCAGGACCCATGACACCCCCGTCCAACCCCCACACCCCCGCGTCTCCTAGTGGGGCAAGGCTGGGGCAGTCTGGGTACAGTGCCTCTCCAGCCGCAGCGTTCCCACTGGCATCGCCACCCTCCCTACAGATGGGGACACCGTCGCCTGGCAACGTGCTCGGCGTGTCCTCTCCTGGCAACCCTCAGCTGCATGTGCCATCTCCAGGTATGGTTTACATCATGACTTCTAATACAACTTTGTGTTACTGTACTAAGATAGTATGGTATTTTTAATGGGGCATTTATATGTAAGCATAAACTTATTGTCACCTTACTAATAAAATATAATGTCTTTTATTAATCACTCAGTATGACCAGGCTAATATGAACATGTAGCAGCGTTTATCTGTACAGGTGTTCCATAAAAAAAGAGTTGACAATTTTTCATGTTAATTTGCCCTCTACAAAAGTTGCATTTCTGTTTTCAGGTTCATTTGTTCCAGCCCCTTCTCCATCTTCCCTGGGGATCCATATGCCGTCTCCCGCCACAGCTTTCATCAGCCCTCAAGGTAAACATCTTCTTAAAATTCTACCCTCTAACCAACCCGCCACATCCATAGTACAGGGCAATAATAACAAGACACTTTGTGATTAGTTTTGCCTGATTTGTCTCAAAGATGGATGTTGTCAAATGCAAAAAATCATTTAAAGGTGATTTTAATATGTTTGCCTAAGATTGTTGTCTTTCCAGTAACTGTTGTCCACAACAATGTGAAAATTGGGCAGGAAATCACAGGAATAGATAGTTGAATATTAAAAAGTGTAAAATTGCCTCAAGACATCTATATCATGATTTCATAGCCATAAACCTGTGTAAAAGAGTCCCATGTCTGAATGATGTATTAAAATAGTTTTGTATAAAGTTTTTTTTCTTTTGGTAAATTTTTAGCTATTTTTAACCTACTATTTAATACCTTGTATTCAGTACAAAACAAAGAGGATAGTGAACTTAAATAGAATGCTCTTAATGATAACCAGTGACCATCATAAATAACCAGCTAGCTGCTAATGTTGTCTGCTTACAAGTTAGACCTGGCTTTCTGACATCTAACCAGTTCATATGGTGTTTACTGCGATGTTGTCTCATGCTGTGGCTGTGTTCCCCAGATCAGTGTGACATCCCCACCACCCCCACCCCCACCCCCAGCCCCCAGCCCCTCCCCCGTGCCATGTTGTGAGGCTGCAGTCTTTGCTTTGTGACACCATAACCTGATTTATCCTGGCCCAAAGCTATTTCTGTAATCACCTGAAACGTGTAAACTATTGGAAAGTATGAGAAAAGATAATGCAGTATAAAATACTGAGCATTCCTTCCCCATAGATGTGCCTAACAGGTGAAAATGCATCCTAACTGCATGGCCAATGTTTTCGCCGACCCAAGATTACAGTTTGTTAAATCACGACAACAGCACAACGGATGGAATAACTTTCAGCATCCGTATTGTATTCATTAACAACTTATATAATGCAGTGGATCTTAACTGTGCATGGTGTAATGTGATTGCATGTTTACATTCATATAGTTTTTACCTTGCATGCTTCACCAGGCTCTTCAATGTAGACACAACCATCTCTCTCTCTCTGCTCTCTCTCTCTCAGTCCATATTGTGCAGTAGTCTTTAATCTGCTCTGGTATGGTTTATTGGAGATAAAGCCCCACCCCCCCCTGTAGGTATAGTGGCCAACTGTCTGTGCTAATGTGTAGTAGTAGTAGTAGTAGTAGTAGTAGTAGTAGTAGTAGTAGTAGTAGTAGTAGTAGTAGTAGTAGGGTTCATTCCCGTTGAAATGATTGATCTACGTAGATCGATTCAATTCCGCTGGTTCTCTCCCTGAACGTAATCAGTTCAACAGGCCTCCTCGTGTTTCAAACGCACTTGTATAATCACCAGCTTTTCTTTATTCTTCTCAACACCAGAAAGAGGCTTGTTCATCTGCTTAACTGATTGCATTCAGCCAGAGTCCCCACGTAGTTGGAGCAACCTCCATAGACGGATAGTTTCAATGTGAATGAGCCCCTAGTAGTAGTGGGTGGGCGGGACATGTAGGCTGTGTCTCCATTGCTGTCATCTCCTCTCTAACCATGTTGATGGTTTATTCCTCTCTGGTCTAACCACAGGCATGCTGGAAGGTGGCTCCCCCTACCATGGCGGTGGCTTGGTCACTCCGTCCCCTGGTCCACGGAACTGGCCAGGCTCTCCCTCGCCAGCGTCCAGGCATGGGACGGCTCATTCCCCTGGGGCTGGCCACCAGGCTTTGCACTCGCCTCCTAACAGGGACCTGGGTATGTGATTAACACTATGGTAGACTGGGGGTGGGGTGAGAGGGAGGGGGGGGGTGAGGGGGGCAGGTAGGTGCACTGTACACAAGGACCTGGGTATGTCATTAATACTACCACAGATTTGGGGAGTTGAAGGGGGGGGGGGGCACATAGCACTGTGAACACGTTCTCTTCTATTTTCTATGTATTATATTATTAATTACTACTGCATTGTGCTCTCAAACCTGTGGGGGAAACGAGGAATGTCCTGTCTAGCACTGTCCACACTGAATGGAGATTAAGATTGCTTGAAAATGTTTCCTGAAATAAACTTGTTCAACTGTTTTAAATTATTTTGATTAAAAAATCATTTGACTGACTTTTTCTATAACTCTTTTCTTTGTGACTATTTGTTGTAATAGCTGTTGATAATTATAAGACATCTCCAACTCCTGTATTACAGTGATGAGTCCACCGTCAAGGATGTTACCCCAGAGGTCCTGGGCCGCCTCCATACCCACCCTGTTGACCCATGAGGCCTTGAACAAACTGCTGACCCCAACGTCCACTCCTGGTCAAGGTCCTGGGCTGGGCTTCCTCCCCTGCTGTCCACTGCAGAGATTCCTGGGCTGTGTGTTTCTGAAGAGAAGTCTGCAGAGAATTGTTCAGACTGATGACGCTGTGAGTTCTCAGGACTGAAGTCTGCTACTAAAGATAATTGATATTATTTTGTTTCATTATTTTCGTATATTGTATCATTTCATAATTTGCTGTCATATGTTATAGCAGTAACTGGTTTCTGTTGTTTATCGTACAGTTTAGAATCAAAGGTGACTGATATATTTTGTTTACCACTATTCTACATAACCATAAAAAATGATGATAAATTCAAATTTTAAGTCCTAATTGATGAGAGAGGACTTCCTTTATACGTGTGTCAGATACTTGGACAATCCCCACACAGTCAGTACATTAGTTCAGTGAAGTGTGTTATTCTCTTGCTATCAGCTGCAGCACATTCCCCCCACTGAGCCTGGAGTGGTTATGTTTAAGAGTGACAGCATGCAGTTCAGGGTGGCACTAAACCCAAACACACAGCAGGTGCTCCAGATGAAGATCACGCCTTCTATAGGTAGGTACTCGTACACAGAAGTCAATTAAGTGTGTGTGTGTGTGTGTGTGTGTGTGTGTGTGTGTGTGTGTGTGTGAACCCCAACACATAGCAGGTGCTCCAGATGAAGAGCACACCTTCTATAGGTAGGTACTCATACACAGAAGTCACCAATGTGTGTGTTTGTGTGTGTGTGTGTATATAAATGCTATACACCTACTTGATACTCACTTTTCCTCTAATGTTTCCAGACCAGTGGAGTCATGATGAGCTGCAGGTGCTGGAGAGGTTCTTTGAAGTACGTGTCACATGTCCTCCATACAAACTGTATGCTGTCACCGCCTTCACTAAACTGCTGGCTGCTCCACCAAGAATACTCAAAGACTGTGTACAACTCATGAGACTGGAACTGGTAGGTTATACTAGCAATTTATTTATTTATTTATTTATTTATTTATTTATTTATTTATTTATTTATTTATTTTTACAGTATGGCAGGCACTTTTTATTGTCAAAAACTTTGCAGGACAGAAAATGCTTGCATCAGATTTTCTAATTAACCAACACCTGTCCCAGAGTCCACCATTTGTAGTCCTCATCTACTGGATAGCAAACTTCTTTAAACATTCTTATACCATGAATGGATTATCTGTTAATCTTCCAGATGCCAGACCGTAGTTTCAAGTGGGGTGTCCACTGGTGTTTGACCAGTGCGGCCAGTTCATCCCCAATTGTGGCTGGGGCACCTGCTGTCCTCATCAAGGGAAACAAGATGTTGTTCATGGTGAGTTGGAAGCTCAGAAATGGCAGGTTTTTTATGGGATGTAGTTATGTGATGTTAAGTGTAACATCATTGTTGGTGTTTCTAATATTTATGTGTATATCACCTTTCTCACTTTCAAAATGGTTTTCAAGGAAACGTGTGTGCCTATGTGTGTCACAACCAGTTTGTTGATGTGAGAGGTGTTTTCAGTTTTAATCTCTGACAAAAGTTATTGTTTCTTTCCTAAGCAGTTTATATATGAATAAAGACCTCATATTAAGATAAGACCGAAAAAAAACATTAGTAAAAATTGTCCATTTTTCCAGATCCAGTTGACGCGTATGTCTGCCCCGCCCACCCCCGGGGGTAGTGACCAGCAGAGTATCGTGATTCCTATCTTGTATGACATCAACACTAACATCACCAGTATGGTGGACCAGTCCAGGAACCAGCCCCAGGGGTCCAGCCCCCAGGCCATGGCCGTCATGAACATGCTGAAACGTTTCACAGAATATCATGCTAACTCTGCCGAGTGCTCCATATTCCCTGCTGTTAGGGAACTGATGGCTAACTTGATACTGCCGGTTTAAACAGACACTGCTTCGATAACTTATTATTAAAACAAGGAGACAGTAAATCCTCCTAGGACTGACAGAGAGAGGTCCATTGACTGCTATGTGCAGTTGAAGTGACTTTGAAAGAACTGGTTTTTGTCACAGTTATCAATAAAGTCACATAACACATTTTACTAGTCAGCAATTCTGATCTTCATACGTGTCACATTCACAGATCCTGTATGTATGTAATCGCTAGTTACAAAACACTTATGCCTAATGCATTGTTTACAGTACTGTTTTATAATAAATTCATATATAAGTGCATCACATTAGGTCTTTTTGTTTTTCTGGTATTTTTTAAGTGCAAACTGTATTATATGTTGTCTTATTTTTTTATTTTTTATTATTTTTTAAGAGAAGAGGATGTCCTAAGTAGTTGCACTCCATGGAAGGTGCTGGAAGTTGACTTGATTCCCTTGGTACTGTGCCTTTTCACAGGTGTTGCATTCATATAAATGCAACAAAATCCAAATTTATCAACATTTTCTACTGATTAGTGCTAACCAGTGAAGAGGAGATTTTAAATCTGACTTACTTTCATAGTCAAATGGAGGAATAAAGATATTAGATTTAGTGCTCCAAAAACTGCTGACTTCGATAAGATTTGTGGTTAAGATATGTATTACTTCTGAAAAGTGAGTGTCCACTTTGTCAGTGCTAAGGCATAAATGTTGAAATATTGTATTATTTACTTTATTTGCTGTGTGCTTTATTATTCAATATGGAATGGCTCATACATTTATTATATTGAGGCAAAAAAGTGCTAATTAGTACTAAATAATAATAGTACTCTATATACTATATAATTTGCAGCTCATGTGAGTTAATGACCTCCAGTATCTGTTCCATTAGTAAACTCACCACACCATGCGACTACAGGGAAATAACTTGTTTGGTGTTGCTTGAAAATTGCCTCCATGCAATATTACATCCATTTTTGTTATGATCACTATTTACTTAGTACAGACAACACAGGCCAGTTCTCTGCCATCCACATATGGTGGACAGGGGAGAGAGCCACATTTAGCCTCAGCAATGTAGAACAAGGCTCCGTTCTTACTTTTATAGCTCCCAGGCACCACTTCTGGCGCTGCATCCAGACAGACAAACTCTGCTCCTCCACCGTCACTGTCATGGCCTGACACCAGGTAGCCATTGTACTCTGTTGTCCACCCAGCTGGACACGTCTTCTTGGCTGGTATCATCACGTGACTGGGACGTGTTTGAGCGTGGCATACAGCACAAGGGGCATCATGGTTATAGACACTTTTACCGTCAAAGATGTTTTCATTTGTGTATCCAGTTTCGTACTCCACACCGTGTATGTAAGTGCCGGAGTGCTGTCTGCCATCCATGTACCTCCCCCATTCTGGTATCTGTGGCAGACACAGATAGGTGCTGCCATGTATTTCATTGTCGTAAGAGGCTCCTCCTGCCACACCTAACGGAAAACATAAATGATGGAAGAAAATAGCAACTTATTCATATATCACAAACAATTTTAGGCAAAATGGACGTAAAATTATCTTACTGAAACAGTTGAGGATGAATTTAAGCATACCTTTGTATAAAAGCTGTGAATGAGTAGCACAAGTTGTTCTGCCCCAACGTGTATACACTGCCCCACCATGGCTGGTAGTGGCTGGTGAACCTGTAAACATACATAAATCCTAGAGAACCTCACTGTGTGCACTGTCCCAACGTGGCTGGTATTGTAGATTTGTAAATGGACATCAGCCTTGGAAGGCATTATATGCACAATTGCCTATGTTCCTGTCATCAGAACAGCCTTTCCTTTTCCATAAGAAAGACAGTATGAAAGGACAAGGTAATGCATTTTTTCCTTTTTTCTTTAGTTTGTAAATATTTAATAAATCCCAACTGTCAGATAAGATTCACTCAATTTCAACAGAAAAGGTGAAGTGTATAAACACCAGACAAACCTGTTTGTGGAGCGCCATTTCCAGTTCCAGTGTTGGCTTCAAACTGTTCAGTGTCAGAGGTCCTGGGTTCACTTTGGCTCCAGATGGACCCTTGGGAATTTGGAATAAAGATATAAAATATATTGGTAATGCCTTACATAAAAGAACCCATACTGTTTTTTTTTTTTTTTTTTTCAATTTATGTAAGGATATAAATCTACATACTATTCCACTACTTAGGTTTGGCTCACTTGGTTTTATTTGTTCTAAACATGAACCCATATATTTCAAAAGTTCATCTTATGGAAAATTTTACTTATGAAATGTGAGGCTTTTCCATGGCATAAGAAGTCTGAAAGGGTAAAATGGCTACTTTTATGTACATTTATTGCCCTCATGCTCAGATTATTCACTTCCAATTTTTGATGTTTTAAGTATTTCATTTTTTTTTATGAACATATAGTGGCACTTTCATGTAATTTCCACCATATTATTGCACTTTTAAGCTACCAGCCATGCCATGCCTTACCTGTATTCCACCTTTGCCATCTCCCCCCATAAATCCCCCAGACAATCCCTGTGGTCCCTGAGGACTGATCCCTGATGAGTTGCCAACTAAAAAAATATTTTTGATAAAAAGTAGATTTCAGCATAGTTACTAGCTCATTCTTTGTGGTCTCGATGTCTTATGTTATGTTGGGAGTTTTATAAAGTAAAATTTTCCTAAATGGGTGTTACTTTGTACAGAAATTGCACCATTCATGCTGAGAAAAATACACAAAATATTCACATAAAAATTCTTGCTGAATTATATTTAATATTAAACTGTTAGCAATATTTTAATATTTAAAAAAAGCAGGCCTACTGTTAGCTTTTAAAGGTGTCTTATATCCAAACAGCCTCATGAATTCCTTCACACTGTCTAATGTTATAACTGGTTGCTGTGAATAAATAAGAAGTTTTATTTATCAAATGGAAATAAAACTGCTCACTCAAGAGATAAGTATTGCATTTATATATTATTATTATATTGGTCATGTATGATGTCACTGCAGCTTTCACTAAATACTTAAAAGTTATGCATGTAATTATGTATTACTACCTACCATTATTACTACAGTAACAAGCATAAGGTTTGGATCTCGTAAAACCTGCAGCAAAAATTGCTCATTTTTTCAAGTACAGAAGAAGAAAGAGGTAGGAAAAAACATCTTATCTACGACTTACACGCCTGTTTAGCTTTTATTTACCTGAATTCCGTCTCTACCGTCCTTCCCATCTTTACCGTCCTTTCCATCCCTGCCATCTCTCCCTGGGGGTCCCTGGGGTCCCTGCTTACACTCTGACCTGCCTGATCTCACCGCTAAAACACGAGACATCGCTCTGGTTTAAGGTATGAAGTGCACGGGGTTTTATCATGGAGAAACCATCAGCTACATATGCCGGTTCCAAGAACTCTGGCGTTTAGCCCCTTTAGCTAAATTTATTGTGCTACAATACGTGACCCCCTCTGGGGCTTACCAATATCTTATTTTAACATTTCAGGGTAATGGCAGAAAAAAAAACAAAATTCTTACAGCTTTCCTGCTGTGTTTGACTCTTGGAAATGAAATGGCTTCCACCGTGAAGGTTTGTTGCGTATTTCGCGGCAGTTGAGACTGTTTGTGCCTCTAGCTTCAGTTGGATGTTCACGATGTCAGACTATATTAAGGTGGAAATGAAGAACACGATCGTTATTCTGAAGGTGGATTTTTATTACAATGTTCGGAATAAACTGATTCCAATTATAACTCCGCGATGCCAGATATAAAAGTAACAGTCGTTGCCCTGCGCGATGGTGACACGATATGGCGTTTCCCGCTAAAACATATTTGTAATGAACCTTTTCATATACATATATGACGAATGTCTTAAACTTATATAATTTTGTACGCTTAATTCAAGCGTGGGCTCGAAATAGGACATTACGTTTAAGACTAACTTAGTGGATAACGCAAGCTAAATATTCCACGGTTCGTGTCAGATTTACGTAAGGTCGCGCAAAGAAAACCCAAGTCCACATAATGGTTACATATGATACACAATGTAAAAAGACAAAAATCCAAAGTAAAAAAATACCCTCAGTTGTTTGTTTTCCTGTCGGACCTTAGCAACCTCAAACTCCAGCCTTTTCAGGGATTCTATCTCTTTCTCTTGTCTGTCGAGTCGTTCGACCAATTTCATCAAGATATCGTTATTGACATTGGCATGGTGTTGTAAAATTGATGTCGCTGCTGTAATGGCAACAGCAGTTAGAATAAGAAATATACATGTAGACAGCATCGTGGTGTTGGACACTGTAAAGATTATGGCGATAAACTGTTATATTTAACTGTGTAGACCTTGCGTGGATCAACTGATGTACCTTAGCCGCGTTTCCAGACACTGTGTAGTTTACTTAAAGAGATAACACTTGAACTGTAACTTTCGTCTCCATCATATCACAGCTTGTTTGCCAGTTCGATGTGAAGCCAGCATGATAGGAAATGAAAAAGAGGAGAAAAGTTAAGTTCTTGCCTGACAATTAGTTTGGTTAAAAAATTAGGACATTTCTGTTCCTTGCTTCATGTGTTGTCAGTTGTCTGGGTGTGCAATGTGTGCTTTTCTAACTAATCGAATATTTCTTTGGATAAATTTAACTTGCTGCAAAACACAATCTACGAAAGCGTGCTCTTGCCAATTTAATCGCTTTATTTTCATTTCGAAATTTCGAGTTACTGGGTCAGTACCAAGGAATCTTGACTTAATAACTCAACAAATATTGAATTATTAACTCGAATTTTTAAAATGTAATTAAACCTAATTGACAGCAATGTGCTATAATACATATTCCCTTATTTTAACACACGATAAAATTCTGGCTTTTCTTAGCTCAAACTTTTAAGATAGCCATTTAAATAACTCTTTTGGGCTATGAATTAATGAATCGCGTAAAAAACTGTGTTTTCCATATCTACTCTCCTAGGTTTTCATGGACAAGGATGAAAGTTTGACACTAAAATGGATATCAGACTACTTCTGCCCATTTTTATACAGTTTTATTCAAAACATTCACAACATAATGTTATAGTGATGAATAACGACAGCAGTTTGAAGCTTTCGAACGTTTATTCACCGACTCTTGCTTCTTACAACTTCACAAATATTTATACTCAATTTCTCCGTACTGATCACGCATTTACTTGTTTTCTTTTCCATTGTCTTTGCGTGATTACAAAATATTTTCCATTCTCATGTTGCAAGTCACTATGCAGCATTTCCTTATTAGGTAATCCCTAAGAAACTTGTTTTCAATTAAAGATATCTAAAATATTATTTGGATTACTCATATTTGGACCTTATCCAAAACTCAGTTATCATGTGATAAATAGATGATCAAAATTATTTTATGTAATGAAATTAACCAATCACATTAACTGTTACTGACTTTGACCTTTTCCATCTTTTTCTGACACTAAAAACATGTTCTACACTTGTTGACTCTTGGAGAAACTTAACTTACACTCAATAACTCTTTGTCTTTTTACTCTTTTGATTCCGCTTTAATTGCTATCTGTAATTAGTGAAAGTGTAAGTAATTTGCTTTACAACATACACCCCTTCTTCAAAAGAATTCGTCCTCGAATTCTAAAACTTTACAACATACGCTCCTTTTTCATTTTTTCTAAAGCAAAGCAAATACTAAATAACATAAAATACTTAAATTTTCAAAAAAAAACTTAAATGATAAGGTCACATATATGTAATCAATTTAAATGTTATACGCAAGTTCATCAATTTCTGCAAAATAAAATAAAACAATAATACAATTAATGATAACTTTCGTTAAACACTTCATGTCTATCATAAAGTCAAGCAAAAATATAACTAAGAAAAGTAATTCTATATAAGTTACGTATACTTAAAATTAAAAACACATTCGACATGAAACCAAAAATATTAATTTGAATCTCTTATTATGGCTGTGAAACACTTTATTATACAGTTTTCTCTTTCGGTTGTCATTAAAACATAGTAGGAATGTGCTACGTAAGACAATAGGGTTAGCTACTCCCTGTCCAATGAACAGCAATCACCACAACGTTGCGACCCGCGCATCGTTCATGATGAAGTACATATTCATCTTCATATTTGTCCACATTGTAGCTCTCCTCTGTGATGACTATAAGAGAAACACTTGATCATATCAAATTCAATCCACGAATTTTTATAAAATTATACCGATAAATAATTAAGTCGCAAAATGTGAGGATCTTCCTTAATGCATATCATCAGTTTCATGTCATCAATATTAAAAACCAAATACACTTTTTATATAACAATAATCAGCTGTTCAAATATTGATAACCAACAATCATAAGATCAATATGTAATATGTTTTTAACATGCAGTTACATTGTAAAGTAATTAAAATAAAGCATGTTAACAAATGATCATGGTTAACACACAATAAAATGCTCATCATTATATATGATAGTACATATTGATTAAAAAAATCATAATATTTGTCAAGACTTACAAGTGTCATGTTAATTCCGTGCATCTCGCACACTCTCAATAATAATAATCTGAAATGTCTGAAATTATTGAAGTAACAATAAGAATGAATCATAAAGTCATTAATATGTTGTGATCATACACACACTTCTTATACCAAAAGTTCACTCGCAAAGATTAATGCCTTATGTTTATTTAAGACACGTGTAGCAAGTCAAGTCAAATTCACTTTGGATTGAAATTAATCTGCATTGTGATCAAATGGTTCGAACTGAATATAGAAAAGTGCACAATCATGTTTAATGCGCAAAAATGTACAATATTTGTTCTTGAATAATTTTCTGGGTTTAAAAGCTGTGAAAAGTGACAATGGGATAACTCGTTCCAAAATAACGTTTTTGTTTATCATAATGTTTATAATTGTCAAGCCATGTCAATGTTTTGACAGATGTAGTCTGTAGATACAAAAACTTAAATGAACTTGTCGAAATTATTATAGTTATTACTTCATTTTGTAATAAGAATGAATCTGTGGTCATAAGTTCCTTCGGCTTATTAATTGATTTTGTTGCGAAATTTTATGATCACTACGGTAAAGTAAGCACTATATCGTTTACGTATACTTTTTTAAGTAAAGCCACTATTAGTGCCAATTACCTGACCTTGATAAACAGACCAAATTTCATCACGAGCAATAAGCTCTGTATCCCGAATAAATATTTGAGGTGAATCATCTGTAGGAATATTTCGTCTGCTAGAATAGCATCTGCCATACAAGTATTGGTTTGCTCTTAATTGTCTCTTGTTGTTTGAGCCATGTTTAGCAATCTCAAATGATAACATATCTTTGGCAAGAAAATGAGAAAAAAAATTGTTAATATAACTGAAGAAGAGCTGATTCTGAATTTAAAGGTTCACTAAATAAATCATTGTGTTTCATGTTGAAAATATACATGGTGAACAGAAATATGCAACAAACCAAATTTAATGGATATAGCTGTGCTGTCTAATGTCAATATGACATTTCTATAGGACATTGACGATGTTTGCCCCTGGGTGGATGGTGTGAACCCATCGGTGTCTACGCTCCTGCCGCCGTCATCACCATAACTGTATCGCCGTTCCACTTGCCTCGGTAGAGCGGGGATCGATTTTTCCTCCACCACTTGTTATAGTGATGAATAACGACAGCAGTTTGAAGCTTTCGAACGTTTATTCACCGACTCTTGCTTCTTACAACTTCACAAATATTTATACTCAATTTCTCCGTACTGATCACGCATTTACTTGTTTTCTTTTCCATTGTCTTTGCGTGATTACAAAATATTTTCCATTCTCATGTTGCAAGTCACTATGCAACATTTCCTTATTAGGTAATCCCTAAGAAACTTGTTTTCAATTAAAGATATCTAAAATATTATTTGGATTACTCATATTTGGACCTTATCCAAAACTCAGTTATCATGTGATAAATAGATGATCAAAATTATTTTATGTTATGAAATTAACCAATCACATTAACTGTTACTGACTTTGACCTTTTCCATCTTTTTCTGACACTAAAAACATGTTCTACACTTGTTGACTCTTGGAGAAACTTAACTTACACTCAATAACTCTTTGTCTTTTTACTCTTTTGATTCCGCTTTAATTGCTATCTGTAATTAGTGAAAGTGTAAGTAATTTGCTTTACAACAATAACTTTTAACAAATTTTTTAATCATTAAGTAGAGCTGCAGTGACTCCTGTCTAGCTCTCTGATTCAAATGTTTTAAATACATTTTTAAAACAAAATCAAGTAAAAACGTGATTTGCACCTACGTCAAATAAGTACTGTACGCATAGTAATTCACTCTATATTAATGCGCTCCACGTCAACGAAGTTTAAATGTTGAGCTGTCAGATCTGGAGCCGGAGCAGCGGATTTGCTCTTTCACCATACTTTCCCGCGCCTCTAAACTTGTTGCTGCTTCTCACAGAAAGGTGCACTTTTAGAAAGTGCAAATCACGGGGGAATGGTTTTGCATATTATAAGACGTATTCGTAATAATAGCTAGCGTTTTCACTCTGTATGACATCATTTAATATGTCTTCATCATCGTAGTCATACCACTCTATCAATAACTCCTTCGTTGGACATTTCCTCGGATGATGCGGGTGATTTACTCTTCTCCAATATTTTGTCATTTCTGAAGCAGATAGACGATGGACAGTGATGAGAAATCGAAATCTACAGTCGCTGTAGGCATACCAGTAGGCACCGAACCCTATGTAATGACTAGCGGGTACTCCACTTTTGTTTGCACATATACCGATAAAAACATCCTCCATACGAAAGAATCTCGTCGTCTTCGATGTTTGGTAAATTGTTTTTGTTGCTGGCATTGACAAAACAAATCCTGACCCAGAACAATATGGAGGATACTTGTCTCCTGCATATTCCTCCAGCGATATCTCCCACTTCGCCGCTTTTTTCAACTTCCCTTTTCGAATTGGCGTGAGATCGCGTTCACTGTTGCCAACATAAAGCATTTTCTGTTTTTGAAGTGGGAGCGCCTTCAAGTATTTGACTAAATTCATGTAATTCACAAACATGTCGTCGTCTGTTTTCATTACAAATTTTGCTCTGCGACAAAATGTCGACGCCCACCTCAGTCCCATCACAGTTTTCACTGTCAAGTTATCGTAAGAGTCGTGGAAATCAATTTGTACCAGGTCACCATACTGTGCCTGCTCTTCTTGAAGTTTCCGTTGGGTGTTTGTGTCATTGCTCCGCCCCATGATGTAAACCGTTCTGATTTCTGTTCCATTAACAGTTTTTGTACTCCCCCACGTTCTTCTGATAAGACGGCGTCTCTTAATCCCGGTAGGTTTTGAGTTGATCAGAACTATCAAAAACAGGTCTCCTTTTGTCTCTCTTTTGCACACCTCTTTGTTATTTAATAAGTATTGATAATTCTTGGTGTGGATCCAGTCTCTTGATCGTCTGACGGCACTAATGACTGTCTTATATTGTTGGGATCGGTCATGTAGCCTGAAGAGGTATACCAATACAAATGTTATTACAAGTAAACAAGCAAAATTGAAACCTAAAAACAATGACGACGATTGCCTTCTGCTAATCATTGACACTGCTTGGAAAATTACCGTTTGGTGCCACCTTAGTCAAATCACTCACTCCAACCATAGTAAGAAATGGTGTTTTGATGTTTATCACTATCAGTGAAACAGCGTAATCCTCTCCCTCCCCCAACTTCTGTCACCTGTCAAACTCACACTGCGTGTATAACAGCATCATAATGATTTTACATGACGGAACCGGGTAAGATTCAATCCCGGATTTTCATATACCTTTAATTTAATTAATTTCTTTTATACTCTGGATAATACGGTATTAATGAGAGCATGGTCAGATTTGTTTTGGTCGTTGAAAAACAGTTAACTTGACGGAAACAGTTTAGTCGGACTTGGCTGTTCTCATCACTTGACGCCGTCATATTCTATGCTCTATAGAGAATATACATAATGATCAAATTTCTTTCTATTTTTATACAACTGCGTCAAACACCAGTGACTATCGTAAATCCTGTTGGTCGCAGTTCACGTGCATGTGTGTATACGGTGTCTGAGAGAGCAACAGGTGAGCATGGCGTTAAGCACTGTATTAAGTTGTTATATAGGCCTACTGTACAGCTTAAGGTGGGTGTCATTAGCGTCTAAATGGAGAAGCCTACTTTTCAAGGGGCTTTGAAAATTAATTCATTTTTAGGATTCTTATCAACATGCATTGTCGAAAGTCCAGATTGTTGCGTCTTTTTACATTAATTGGGATTGCTGTACTGTTTACTATTATACTGGTGTATCTTACTCACCACGTTGACCACACGGGTATTACTCAGAGACGCATTGGCCTTACGGTTTTTCAAAGCACCAACAAAACAGAAGATCACTTGAATTTCGGAGAAAACAGACTGTGGATACACACAAGACCTTACCAATACTTAATGAATATTGAAAAGGTGTGCGCAAAATCTAACGTAAGAGATTTGTTTTTGATAGTTTTGGTCCTTTCGAGGCCCGATGGATTTAAAAGACGTCACCTAGTCAGAACTACATGGGGGAGTCCTAAAACCGTTAATGGAACAGAAATCAGAACAGTTTACATTCTTGGGGGGAGCAATAACACAAACACCCAACAGAAACTACAAGAAGAGCAGGCACAGTATGGTGACCTGGTACAAATTGATTTCCGCGACTCTTACGATAACTTGACAGTGAAAACTGTGATGGGACTGAGGTGGGCGTCGACATTTTGTCCCAGAGCCAAATTTGTGATGAAAACAGACGACGACATGTTTGTGAATTACATGCTTTTAGTCCAGTATCTGAAGGATCTCACACCACAGGACCAAGAACTGCTTTATGCAGGTAGTATAAATGGCAACCTCCATCCAGTTCGGGTAGCAGAATATGTTTCGGAGAAGAAATGGGTAGTTCCAGTAGAGGAGTACCCGGATGAGGACTACCCGCCATACTGTTCGGGGGGAGCCTACGTGTTGTCCGGTAGAGCAGCGAAATCCATCTATGAAACCTCAAAAACAACGCCGTTTTTCAGAATGGAAGACGTCTTTGTCGGTATATGTGCAAACAAAACGAGGATATATCCAACCGACTACATCGGGTTCAGTTCCAGCTGGTTCGCTTATAGCGACTGCAGGTTTCGTTTTCTCATTACTGCCCATGATAGTTCTGTCAAAAATTTCATCAAAAATGTTTGGAAAAGAGTTAACAGCGAACGTAAACCTAAAAAATGCCCAACAAAGGAATTATTGATAGAATGGTACGACTACGACGATGACTATATCTTATACAATGTCAGACAATGGGAAAATGCCTCCTATTATTACGATTACACATTGTAGAAAATGTTTGTCTCATGTTTTCAGTTTGTCCTCTTATGTGGTACTAGATATATTTATAAATTATAAATTGTATTGCATTGTATAAAACACAAGGTGGATTGACATCGTTCCAATCCAAAGTATTAAAGAAGGTGTCCTTCTTTTGTCTTTCAAACATGTATTTGTATCGGGTTGTTAAAGAATAAAACAATTTTTTTAAAATCATGAACACTGCTAGATGCGGAATGTTTTGGAAGCAACCCCTCCTGTAAGCCTGTAAAGGGAAGTATTATAAGATAAACGAGACTGTGAAAGGTACAGGTGTCTTTGGGGCGTGGGAGAAGATTACGGTCACATACCTGTAGGCGGGGCCACGGAGGAAGTGGGGGCCTTATAGCCTACGTGATGCGTTTGAAAATGTTAGTCGAAAAATACTGCAAAGCTACTTAGGTATTTTTCCTTATCATTCAGACGAACTTATAAATGGTAAAACCTCTCAAATAAAAATACCTAATGTCTAAAAAATTGGCGGTCTTAATGTACGGTCACAGAACTAGCTTATTTCATTTGAAATGGTATTTAAAAAAAGGCAAATCAAAGTACATCGACGGACCGAGCAATGGTTCTTGATTAGGATATTTTTTTCTCGAGCGAAGTTAAAAATAGCACGAGATTCTGGGGTAGAATAGGCCGTCTTTTAAACTTGAAAAAAGACTCGCTCTCCATATTTGTTATTCTCTCTCACTCTATTGTCCAGCCAATCTACCAGTTTTACAAAGAAAATATTTAAAAACAGTTTTCTTTGCACTGAAATAAAAATACACGCTTGAAGAAAAGTAATTAGGTACATTGAATACCACGCGTCATTATATTAAATTAATTTGTTCAGATGAATTATAAATAAGTATAGTAAAAACGGTTAAACGGTTCTGTATAAAAGAAGAAAAAAATGAAATCCTATAGCCGGAAAATTTATTGAATTTTAGTCATTGTAAGAGGGTTAGTATCTTGTTAGAGATATGAGGGTACATGTACATATGGTAACGCAGAAATAAATTAAAATTAATATTCTCAAATTATAGCCTATCAAATAATCGACATTTATAGGCTCATATTTTACATTTTTACAGCTACCCCTTGTTAAGATCCATTTCCATAGTAAAAGCGTATAATTTACACTTAAAGTTAATGTAAACCGACGTCATCCTTTTATGCTATCTAAAGAATTTAAACGCGTTCCTATTTCTCTGCTTAGGCGCGCTAGCGTGTCACCAGATACCGCAGACTGGCCTCTTTTATTGTACAGCGCGGCTGCCGTCACCGAGCGTTAATAAAATCTGTTCAGTGGTTGAAGATAACTGTGGATCCATGAGGTAAGTACCACATATGATATTACATCTGGGCTTCCTCGTGTCTCAGCTCAAGCCGGTGTGACAGGGATGGAAGTCCGCTAGGAACCGCGTACTCCGTTCCCCATGCTTTGCACAGGTGATATTCGCCCCATATACTAACCCCAATTCCAACTAACCCTAACCCGTACTTATCATAGGGGACCCAGGACGTCCATTCCTGTCACACCGGTGTTGACAGTGCTAAAGTTGTTGAAGCTTGAACTGCACCTTAGTGTAGACCTACTCCCGCCAGGTGGCGTAGGTTTTGTACCCGCAGTTCCGGAAAGGCTTCCGGTAAATTCACAACAGAACTTCACAGTACAAGCGCGACATTCAGAATTGCATAACATTCAGAATTGCATATCAATTGTTTGCTTTCTGGAATCTGGGGAGTTTCTCTTTACAAACGTTACAAACGTTACGCATATTTATATTACGGCCAGGATAGTTATGGCCTTGCGTAATTAGTGAATACTCGTAATATGCTACGTTCCGCGCACCGTAGAGTGCTGTGTATATCTGATCATCTTGTTTCAAAGCAATTTCTTTGTTATCCATGTAGCCACGCATCTCAAGTGAAGCGTCTCTCATTCCTACCGAGTATGGAGGCTTCTCCGACGGTTGGCATTTTAAGTAAGTATCTTGTGAAATTTTACCCGATTCCCTCCTACTAGTAGGGTGCCCTGTGTCCCCATACAGGTAGATTAAGTTCCAAGGAACCTCTGGCACAAGTACAGTGGACTTGTTATTTACAAGGCCCACTGTACTAGCACATTAATTCATCTTGGCTGAAGAAAATACAAATTATTTACCATGTTTTTACCAGTTTTATCACTGCTCTAGTTCCAAACACAGGTAATGAATTTGTGAATTTATTCAGATATTTATTTAGCCTAAAATAAAATTCAATGTACAGTTTAGCCAGTTAAATTTAGTATAACAGTTAAATATCTCAGTAACACTATTTATTAACACTATTTCAGTGTTATTTGTATGATTTGAAGATTTGACATTGGTTGCCCTTGTATAAATTTGTTTATTATTATATATTATTATTATTATTATTATTATTATTATTATTATTATTTTGCAGTTATTGGTGATGAAATCCTGAAAGGGCAAACTCAAGACACCAATTCACATTTTCTTTGCAAAAGACTGTTTTCACTTGGTGTCAAAGTCAAAAAGGTAAGAAATTGGAATGAGTTTGACTACATGTATCAGGAATTAATGGCTCTTCTTAGTTACAGGTGCTTAAGATACATGCAACAAGAAAATTACTCTATAGTCAGTAAAGCTAACGCTGCATAAAGATTGACAATTAAGCCACTTGCGGGGCAAACTTTTAAAGCAACATTACTGTCCAAACCTGTTGTCCTTCTGCCAAATGAAATCTGTATTTTTTCATTGATGTGTTTTTGGCTTGTTATGCAGATAACGACAGTTGGAGATGAGCTTGATGAAATAGCCAATGCTGTGAAGCAGTTTTCTGCTGCCTACACTCACGTCATCACCTCGGGGGGCATAGGGCCAACACATGACGACCGCACATTTGAAGGTGATTTATATGATTAAACAAAGTCAACGGGATACCATTATTTTAGGATAATACTAGGATAATATATTTTGATGCACTTTATATAACCAGTTGTGATATTTAATTAAACACTTAGTGATATTTATTTTTTGTTCCTTCCCTAATGAAAAAGTCCTATAGGATCCTATTAGATCCTAAGGGAAATTGGGCCAATTTCCTATAGGATCTTATAGGATCCTTTAGGATTTTTTTGTAAGGGTTAGTGGAACCTCAACCTTATGGCTTAAATAAATGGATCTGCTTATTTCTACAGCTGTAGCCAAGGCCTTTGGTGAAAGTGTGGAGCCGCATCCTGAACTGGTAGCATTATGTCAGCATTACTTTGGTACAGATGACCTCAAGTCCCCTAAGCTGAAGTTAGCACATGTAAGTCAGCTAGTTAGCTAAGCTGAAGTTGGCTCATGTAAGTCTGGAAAGCAATGTTTCATTGTTTTCTTTGAAGTGATTTTGCCACTGTAGGCACAATGTCATATTTCTGGTTTCAAATATTTAAGTATTTTCAAATTTCTTTTAACAAATACCATTGTCACAGTCATAGTTTCTTTTTTCACAGTACAATAGGCTCATGATGACATTATTATCAAGGAAGACACTTAATGTGACAAGCTAATCATGATGTAATGTTGTTGATTTATTTTTAGATTCCAAAGTCAGCTAAACTTCAGTATGGTTCAGATCCGGCTACTGGCCAGAAGACCAAGTATCCTCTTGTATCCATACACAATGTGTACATGTTTCCTGGAGTTCCCTCCTTGATGGAGAGGGCTTTTGTCATGTTAGAGGTAACTTAGATTGCCAGGGATTGTGTTTGGTTTTCTTTGAATTATAGATTTTGAAAATCCTCAAGACAATTTAACATTATAAATTTGTCAGTTGAAGCCTATTGTAATGTCTGACATCTACACAGTAAGATTTGACATTTTTCAGGATTAATATTCATTATTCACACATTCCAGGGACTTTTCCACAATCCTGACTCCAGTGTTTACACTAAAGAGCTGTACATTAATATGGACGAATTTAGCATTGCTGATGCATTTAACAAAGTTGACGAGAGATACAGAGATACTGTGATTTTAGGATCATATCCAGATTTTCACAATAGGTAAATATTATTTATGTCTTATAGTAGGTGTATAGCTGATGTAATTAAATATCTGGACTATTTCAGACATCTGGATATTGGTAGAAAATATTTTACTAGTTTTCAAGTCATTCATGTCATTTTTCATTCTAAATCCTGTTCAGTTTTTCTCAAAGGATATGATGTTATTTAGTTATTACAAGGTGAAGGTTACACTTGAGGCCACAGATAAAGGGAAACTTGATGAAGCAACTTATTTTCTACAAGGATTATTACCAAAAGGTATGCTTATCTGTACTACATAGATTCTCTTTAGATACTGAGGTCTGTCAACTGGTCTTATTTCATACACATGTTCATGATTGCATGTTTTATCAAACATTTAAAAGGGATTTATTTTTCATTTCTTATGTCAGTGTTATCACATAGGGCAATTCTCAGGAGAAGTAAATGTTGTCTTGAATAATTATTCCTTACATTATAAAGGTGGTTGATATAATGTTTCTTCCTTGATGGCATTAACTAGAATGTTTCACTTGAAGGTAAAGCATGTCAACTTTTTAATCACTGACCTTCCACAAGTTCGTGTTTCTTTTTTTAAAAAAATCTCAGATATCCAGTGATTGTTTTCCATTTCAGAGGCCCTAGTGAAGTATGAGAAAGATCCCCTCAGTCATGCTGTTGAAGAAGTATATAGCCAAGCTGAGACATGGCCAACAGTTAAATCATCTCTCAGGGTCTTAGAGGAATGTTTAGAAAAATATAGGTAAATTTTGTTGGATCATTTGATAAGCTGTTCATCTCTGAAACTTGTGATGTTTGAAAAATGTCCATCAGCATTAAAAGCAATTATTAACCATTATTTTATTCATAAGTAACATATAAGAAGGTATTGATGTATGACATCTTGTTTTAGTTTAGATGAGGTATGTGTTGGCTTTAATGGCGGAAAGGATTGTTCAGCATTGCTGCATCTATTCTACACTGTGGTTAAAAAGTAAGTTTAACAAAAAGATGATTGACACTTAATAGTTATACACTAGCATAGTATCTCGGAGGTTTTTTCATTCATTTGTATCCAATTAAAGAAAGAGTTTTGATTGAAGAACATTGGATTACCAACATGTTATGTGTTAAAAAGATTCAATTCAAAACTGCACAGAGTGTATAATGGCAAGTAATTAGATGAAATAAACATTTAACTAGTAAACATATTTGATTTCGTTGATCAGATTTTGCAAAGTATGTGTTTTAATACAGAAACAATCTTTCATTTCATTAGTTTATGTACATATATTGTTTGAAAAATAAAATATTGTTTTGTGATGTTAGGAAGTATGCTGACCAAGTTGTTGATGCTCCTCTGAAAGCATTGTACATAAGAAGCAGATCCCCATTCCCAGAGGTAGAATTATTTATACAACAGGGAGTTGATAGGTAAGTTGACTGTATTTATAAAGCAATACAATCTGACAAAATCTGTTGGTCCACAAAGTCATCATCATCATCTGCTAATCACACTTGCTGTTGCTATAGGCAGCCACAACCATCTCCATCTCTGTACCCTAAAGTTTGAAAGGTACCATTTGTTTAAACTTAACCTAAACTGTGTTGCACCATATTTTCTGTCACATTTTAGACTTTCTTTTCCATTTAAGTTTTATAACTGCTAGTTTTCCTACTTCACTCATGGTATATATAGATTTCAAAAACCTCTCAAAAATCTCTGGGGTGATCAAATCGCCTGAGTTTGCTATATTATTCACTGAAAATCCTTACTGTTTACATACTCTAACACCCCATTTCCATAGATTAGATCGACCTACTTTAGATCGACTTAACTCCCTGGGGGTTCACGCTAAATAGCTGTCAGCCGGGCGGACACGAAAGTTAATTACCCCCTTACTGCTTGTAGTAGGCGGGATGGACATTTAAGTCGGATTATCTGAAAGTAATCTAGTGAGACTCCCCGCAGGGATAGATCGATCTAAAATCTATGGGAATAGAGCCTAACAGAGCTTTTTTTAGTCTTTCTATAAGAAAGTACTTAAAAGACATTTTTACACATCCTTCAGTCAAATTATATATTTTTCTCATTTGTTTTATGCACTTTCTGAAATGCCTTTCTTTCAGGTATGGTTTACAGTTATTAAGATATGATGGAAGGATAAAGGAATGTTTGGGGGAACTTAAGAAAGATTGTCCACATATTAAAGCTGTTGTCATGGGAACTAGGAGAACAGATCCTTACTCAGGTACAAATATCTTCATTTGAGCTAAAATAATGGTCAGATAGAACTTTTTAAAAAAATAATTTTGCAGTTGGCAATGGATGTTCTCAGCAGTAAACTTTTGACTTAGCTAAAAAGTCACACAGGTCATTTGAGTATTGAAAATGATTTGATGATTCTGCTCTCATCTCTTTCAGTTCAGTTAGAAGCCTTCAGTATGACTGATCCAGACTGGCCACAATTTATGAGAGTAAATCCCATTTTGGATTGGTCTTATCACGATATTTGGAGGTTTCTCAGGGGTTTGAACCTACCTTATTGTTCCCTGTATGATATAGGGTAAGTTTCCTTCACCAAAATTCCAAATATGAAACTGAAATTCACTTACTTGATGTTATTGCAGGTAAATACATAAAACAGACTTTTTACATATTGATGTGACCAAAATAAAGGCTTTTGAAATTATCAAAAGAAAATAACAAATGTATTTATCCAATCTTTTAAAAAGTTTTTATTCTTATTTGATATTACAGGTATACGTCATTAGGAAGCATGGAGAACACCCACCCTAATCCAGCACTCAGATACATTGACCAGTTTGGACTTGCAAAATACAGACCAGCATATGAATTAGAGCAGGGAGATCTTGAGAGATCAGGGAGAAACTGAAATTTTAAACATCTTTTGACTGATTTGGGTATTGAAACAATGGAGCACAAAATATAAATTTTAATAATTTTATTCAAAAATTATGTAAGAGTTCTGTACACAAACTGTTTTTGTCATGACCATTCTGGAAATGTATTAGTCTGATAAATGTTTACTATCAGATTGTGAAGGTGAACTTGGAATGATACTACCTTTCTTAATTACAAGCATATACATACTCAGTATATATGTTGTAACTTTTTATTCAAGATGTTATAATTGGAAAATAAAAAGGAAGTGAAATAATGTGTGGTGTGTTAATGCCTCATATTAGCTCTTTTAATCATTCAAGTAAAGGGATGAATGAAATGTTGACACATGTAAAGATATTATTAAAAATGCAAATTATTCATATATGATAATAGTTCACTCATTAGCAAACTAATAAAGTCCTATATGGGGTGTTGTGAGGCCTTGGAAATATTTTTTTCTAATATTTATCAAATTATTATTATTATTATTAATTTTATTTATTTATTTATGTTTTTTTGGGGGGCGTCCGTGGAAATGACAAATGTCTTGAAAAAAATGTGAAGGACTCGTAAATGGATTTTTAAAATATCGTTCCTTGAACGAAGGTGAATTCAAAAATACTGGAGTGCACATTGCTCTGAATTCAGCTGTTGTTTTGAAAAAAAAAAAAACTACGTGTTATTGTACTAAAGCGTGTCAAGGGCGTCTTCATAATGTGCAACAGGTGCGTTGGCTGTTTTCGTTAATCCTATTGGCCAGCTGCACGACTTCACTATCCAATCAAGTTTCACAGTATTGACAGAGCGTCATGGCGTCGAGAGGTGAGTTTCGTTTTGGACCGGCGTTTAGTTTTAGTTATACATTTTAAAAGTTAAAACTTCGTGTTTGTGCTACAAAAGAACATGTAAACAATTTGTAGAATCTAACTATGCATGTAAAAAAGCCTGTCATTTAACATAAAAATATCCCCGGCAAAAGTAACGACGCACTGACACGTGGGTCAAAGTCCAACTTGTGCTCTGACATGTCAGTTCTCTCAAGTCGATGTATAACTCGAAGGGGGGGGGGGGGGTAAGTCCTTTTAGCGCGCCTTGTCAAGAGTCAAACATCGTAAGGAATAGTTCTATGAATAGTTCTATGACTATGAATTCATGTCCAAACTTCAGCATTCTGAATGGTGGCTCCATGGCTCTGCTGGAGGGGGGGGGGGGGGGATACTTTTTGTGACTCGGTGTGCTCGGCAAACAAAACACATAGTGACTGTAGTCGGTGGACCTCGTGCTAAACAGCAGTTTTATATGTAGGGATAACGGATGGGAAATAGCTTGCCAGTTTGGTTTGTGAAGTTTCATTAATTAACCGTTTATATGGTTTGGAGGGAGAAAGTGCTTCAAATATGATTGTACATGTAGTTTTTCATATTATTACAATAAAACCTTAGATATTTGTACGGGGCCGTAGCGATAACCCGAAGGTTCAATAGTCCGAAGGTTCATTGGTCCGAATGTTCACTATAAAACCTTCGGACCAATGAACCCTTGATTAAAAAATTGATGAAAATGTTACCACTTTTCGGACCAATGAACCTTCGGACCAATGAACCTTCGGACTATCGAGACGCCCCCATTTGTACATGCAGGTTTGTCAAATACAGGCCCTGCCATTTTATTGATTTCATTTTATTTTAATTATTATTTGTTTAATATACATTATTATTAATTATTTAATTTTTTTTTTTTGGGGGGGGGGAGGGAGGGAGGGGTAGTACACACAGTACAGGTACCTGCTGGCAAATGGTCAGTTACTGCCCCCCAAAAAATAAACTTAAAATCATATACAGATTAAAATAAATATATGCATATCTAACTCTATCCATTAGTGTGTGAGTGTATGTGTGTACCCAAATAATTTTTTTGAATTGTTAACACACTACGTGCTTATTTACAGCTGTGTTCATCGTTGCTGCTAAGCGTACTGCATTCGGAACTTTTGGTGGAAAACTGAAAAATAAGACAGCAACAGACTTATGTGAAATAGCAGCTGCGGGAGCCTTGCATGCTGGCAATGTACATGCAGAAGCTGTAGATTCTGTCATTGTAGGGAATGTTTGTGCTGTGAGTTCTCTTTCCTTTCAGCTTTTATTTTTAAAGTCAAAATTTAAAGTTGGTTCTTAATGTCATTCTTTAGATATGCATCTACAGTTTTGTGCAGAGAAGATGCCATTACGGATACGCTTACTTCAAAAACGATTAACTTGTCTTACGTACGCCCCTTAAGAGGACAAAAGAATTGTGTGAAAATCCGTAGGCTAAAGGACAATGCCGACTTACGTACATCTTACTCACNACTGACTATGGATTTTTCATACTCTTCTGTTGTGCGTGGGTTTCACGTTTATAGATTTTACTGGAAACCAGTTATCGGTGAAACACCGATAGTGGATGTTGATGATCCAGTCGGCCGGCAGAAGTTAAGAAATGATAATAAACAGTAAAGCCCCCTTTACACTGGACGGCGTCCTCTCTGCGTCCAGCAGTACGACCCCATTTGAGAGTTAAAAAATTATAATACTTTACGTGCCGGCAACTTGCTGTTCATTGAGCATTCATTCTGATACAAAATCCATGCTCGTGCCTCCTTATTAAGACCACAGCGTTGCCAAATTTCATGGTCGCAGAGGGGACGCAGAAAGGACGCCGTCCAGTGTAAAGGGGGTATAAGTAATTTATGTGTACTGATGCTTTCAATAATTTCTAAATAACAATAGGGTTTTAAAACTAGCCTGCAGCTGCCGGCAGGCAGGTTGAGTCCTTCTATCGTCTCATTCAAAAACAGCACATATACATGATAACAATCTCTCCTGTCAAGTGGCAGTTCCTTTGTTTGGTACTAGGTTCAGATTATTTCACGTGTACTATGTGTGTGAAAGAGGAAAGTCAGAATTAGCAATGAACGAAATGTACCTCTAGATCTGTTTACCTCTTGAACCCCCCCACACCCAAACAGGTCTGGAAAATCCACCCTGCTCTACAGAGGTTTTATAAGCAAATTTTAAGTACAGAAAGAACATTATCTACATATCTAAGGTTAATAATAATAATAATCTAAGAATAATAATCTTTATTGAGATATTGCAACCACGAGGGTTGAAGTTATATATATATATATTTATTTAATTCCCAAATTCAAATGAGGCCTGGTTATTTTGACACTGCTGCACACTATAAGTTGTCGCTCTCACCTCCCTGGGGAGGATACAGCACTAGTGCACTAGGATACAACACTAGAGCTGATTTGGTCTTAAAGTGCAGTTTTAGATCACAAATAATCTTACACGGTCTCAATCATTACAGCAGTGGTCTTGAAATGGACTGAAACTGCTTTTAAGATAAAAATGATCTAACATCTATTTACGTGGTCATGCAATTTCCTCCGGGCTTAAGTAACCTTTATTCCTACACCTCTAAAACTACTGAACAGGGGCACAAGATACATGTAATAGTAATTCAATTAAAAGGCCCAGTGTCTTTGGCACGATAACTTCCCAAATCCATATTAGGGAGTAGAAATGTTCACAGTTGCTTGATTGCTGACTGTAGAGTTTTAAACTTAATGTCAGTGGATGGTTTTATGTAAGTAAAGACAGCGTCACTCTTCCAGTCCCCCATGGCTTTAACCATGGCCAAGGGAGTACCCACTGACATCATCCAAGTGGCCCCGCCACGACGTAAACTATGCGTGTTGTATTCTGCAGAAGACAGTCCAATGTTTTGCAAGCATTTGGAGAGTCTGTGGCGGAAGGATGCTTGCGTTAATGCTACATGTCCCATTGAAGCACCAGCTACTGAGAATAGGGGTGCAGTACTAGAAGCCGTGAGTTGGGTTCCTAGGAATCTCAGTAGTGCGGATGTAGGGCACAGGACGGAATTGTCCACGTAGGGGAGCGCGACTGTGTGAGGCCTGGCTCCATATTGGTTTGTCTTAGACTTCCTAATGCGCAGGATGCAACCTTGGGGTGTGATAGACATATCTTCCCTGAGGATAGACAGCCCCTGTGTCGGCCTGAGATTTAACAGTGAAATTGCTCACCCTCAGTAGACCAAAGAAAGCTGTAAGACAGGCTGCCCATAGCTGTAAATCTGAGATACAACTTAAGTTCAAAATTTTGTGGATTTTATAGAGGTGGTGAGGCAGCAGCGGCGCTTTCTGTTTGTCGGGGTCCCCTTTGTGCCTTTTAATGCCTCCTAGCACTGACTTGAGTTCCCATGAGATCAGTGGATTTTCCAGGCCGAAGTCCAAGTGAAGTATGCGCACAATATTTAAGTACTGTCTTACTGTGGAAGTGGCGCATGAGCGTGCCAGATAAGCTGCATAACGGCACAAGTTTAACTGTGATACTGGCACTGGAGAGCAGTTAATAGCGACACAGAATTGAACGTAAGCCTTTAGGTGAGCTCTATAGGTGGATTTTGTTGATGCAGCAAATAATTGCGACCTCCAGTAAGCCACCTCGGTATCCAGGTCTTTGCACAATTGAGATTCTCCTCCTCCTGTGAAAAAAGAAATAAGAGTGAGTTTCTAGTCATATGCTTGCTCATGTCGTAGAGTGGCGGAGTTCTGCTAGCACTTATATACCAGGCATGCATTACTGAGAGAAATTCGCTCATTTTACCAGGTTCATTTAAACGTGATATCATGTCAGCTATGTAATTGTCACATCCGGCTAAGTGTTTTGCTTCTATTGCCATGTTATGCTGTAATGCTAGAAAAGACAGTTCCTTTAGTAAGTTATTGCAGCATGTATTAGGTGATGCTCCTTTGTTAAGGATACTCATAGCAACTTTGCTATCCGTATGTACGAGGACACGCTTATTTCTCCAGAGGTTGCCCCAACGATGGGCTGCTAGAACTATCGCTGCGAGTTCTTTCACATTTATGTGCTGGACGCTGAGTGCGGCGCTGTCCGATTGCCAATGTGTGTAGAACCAGTCGCCGTGGAGGAAGGCTCCGCCCGCAGTGCTGCTGGAATCCGTGTACACATGACATATTTCCCTTGTATCCCAAATCAGACGCGTGTTATTACCCGTGTTAAGCCATGTAGTCCACCATTGTAAGTCCTGATCAATTGGATTCAATCTGCATTTATGTGCAGGGTGTTTTAAGGTTGCAATGACATTGAAGATAGGCCTAAGGTGAGTCTTTCCCCAGGGAATGACATTGGAGGCCCAAGCAAGCTTCCCTGCTAGGGATTCTAACTGTCTCTTGCTGGCCCGCTTCCGGCGTCGAAAGCTAGTAATAGTGTTGGAGAGTTCTTCCACCTTATTGATTTCCAGGGATAAGGTGCCCTTTTTGGTGTCTATTACTGTGCCAAGAAAAGTTAGTCTTGTTGTGGGATCGCACACCTTTTTCCAATTTATATTAAAGCCCAGTTTCCGAAGAAGGGCAATTAGCTCATTGTAAGCTGTTAAGCACTCAGAAAAATTTTTTCCTACTACCAGGAAATCGTCCAGGTATACGACAAGTTTAAAACCCCTCTTCTCCATTATGCGTTTCACTGCCTGGCTTAATCGATGAAAAATAAGTGGACTAAGGCGCGCGCCAAACGGTAGTCTGGTGTCTGCAAGGATAGTGTCTGATGATGAATTTTTAAACCGCCACTGGAGCCCTGTTATGCAATATTGCGTCGGGTGCAGAGGGACTGAACGATATGCGGACGCAAGATCAACTTTGGCAATGAAATAACCTGGGGCTATTAGGTTCAGTGCTGAATCCAAGCTCTCATACTGAAAAGGACATTTAGTGGCATAGTCATTCACTGCTATCCCATTTGGGCGGCTGAAGTCGTGAATGATGCGAATCCCTCCATCTGGTTTGGGTACAGCTGAGAGTGCACTTACGATTTTTGGAGGCATGTTGAGTTTAATAAGGTGTCCCTCTTCAATTTCTGCGATCAATTGTTTTTCTACTTTTTCCTTATTATTAATTGATGTAGCAGACTTACTGTTTTTGGTTTTAGATTGTTGGATGATGTCCAAGTCAATGTTGTCTATAATCCTGAAGCCAAATTGAATTCCGTTGATTAAAAAGTCATAGTCAATATCCCCTTCCAGTAATTCTTTCCATGATGCTAAGTTCTTTGTAAGGGGGGACATTGCTGGGTACTCCCTTACTTCCTCTCAGAATTGCCTGTTGTTCTGTGGGGGTGAGGGCTGATGCTGTCTGTGTGAGAAGTCGTTATGGCCCTGAGCGAGACATGAGTTGCACACATGAGCAAATCTGCAATTTCTCATATTACAGCCCATTCTTCCATTATACTTAAGGCACACTGGGCGTCCTGATGCGGGGTCAATCTTGCCCTGTCTTTGCTTTGGTTGCTGCTGAGGTTGGCTGTGTTTCAGTGGTGTCAAAAGTAATTGCATTAGGAAAGGGCTGTCAGAGCCCCACTGGAAACCCTGCATAGCCTGTGCCTTTCTGTATTCATGGTCATATCGCAAGACTGATTGCCATTCAAATGTTTGAGCTGAGCAGGCAATTTTAATAAGGAATGTCACGTAATTTAAGACAGTGTTCATATCGGCCCCCTCTTTCTGCACTAATTCTTGAAGTATTTTCAGGCTTCCCTCCATATATTGGGCAGGGGTGAGGGTTTCAAGTTGCGGTCGTCTGTCGCTGAGCGATATGTTGAATTCGCCGATCTGTACTGATCCAGCGTCGGCATCGCTGTTGTGCCCTTTAAATTTTTGATGGAACATTACGAAATCACGCACGTCGTGATAGCGTTTCCCGCTGTTGGTTCCAGTAGAAAAAGGGTCAAAAGTACCCTTACCTGACTCTCCTACTGCTGGTGCTTCTTTTTCTGGGAACTTAAGCTTAAGGAGGTCACAGAGTCGTCCGAAGTCCAGCTCCGTATCGCCGCTACTTGAACCAATGGGCGCCGCCATGTTGGTGAAGTCATGCTGGGAACTCGTCGCTCTCGTTGTGGGGATATCCTGCGTGGATTTCGTTTCTGTTTCCTTTGTCTCCGTTTCCACCTTTTTTCCTTCAGCTGGCTCCTTCAGGGAGCTAATTGCCTCTTGTAGCAACAAGATCTGTGCCAGCGGCAGATTCTTTGAGAAATTCTTTTGGATAAGAGTCTCAGTCAACATTTTGCATGACTTAAGGGACGTAAATCCCGCGTCCCTGAGGAGCTCCATTGTCTCGTCAGAGAGTTCGTTCTCTAACCTCCAACTTTGGAATTCTTCTGCTGCCATGATTCTAGATCAACTGTGGACTTACTAGCAATATACGTAGATGTTGAAATACACAGAGAGAAAAAAAAATTATACAGTTAACACATTGCAAAGTTCATATAATCTACGATGAGCTCCGATGGCTTGCTGCTGCCGCTGTGCAGTTTAAAGCTGTGAGTGACCGTTGGGCAGTTTCACGTGACCAAATATCCAAACGAGGCAGCTGATGTGATTGGACTGGCCACTGGTCAGTTACACGTGACCACTGCATGTTAGAACAAAGAGGATGCAGGGATAAAGGTCCCTATGCAGCCCTCCTGTGTGAGTTTTAAATACCATTTAGTTTAAATGGGCACCTCACAATGGAGGACACCTCTGCTCCTGACACAATAGGAGAACGTGTGAGGGGAGGCAAAACAAGTCGGTCCAGTAATTGTCTTACTTGTGGTTTGAGACCATGTAAGATTGTTTTTGATCTGAAATTGCACTTGAAGACCAAATCAAACGCACATCTTAAAGGAGTAAATAAGTTGTATTAATCATGCATCTCAGACGAAGATGTCTACTTTACAGATGTAATATGTAATCCCATACATTACATATTACTTCAAAAATCTACTCAACCACTCGTTTCTCCACGCCCAGTGTGATTACATATTTCATCTTTATGAAGTAGATCTTCGGAGTCTGAGATGTATCATTAATACAACTTATTTACTCCTTAGTAATTAAATAAAACGTTTAGGAGTAGAATGTAATATTGAATGCCAATAACTTCCATTCTGTATTCCTCAAATTCTGGTTTCTCCACACCCAGTGTGACAACACTGGAAACAATAGTGTTCCACAGCTTTTCAAATTCCTGGTCTGTAACCACGGTAGTACCTCTATGTGCCAGTTGGTTCCTGAGGTACTTGATATTTATGATAGCCTCTATCTTTGGTGTCATAAGAGGGTCAGCTTTTGCTTTAGCTTTGTCTGGGCACCTCCAACCATACCATGTTTCTGGAACAGTGGGGTGAAATTGACGTATCAGAAAAAATAGCAGTGTCACATCCAAGTCGTCCAGTTTTGGTGTGTAAAGAATGTTTGGTGGGAAAAGTAGTTTGTACTGTGATTTTTGAATCTTTTGCCCTTTGAGGCAGTTCCAGAGAATCTGTTTATTGCGTGTCAGAAACTGCTCCAATGTCTCTCCATTCTGGATGATTGATGCCGAGAAATAACGGCGCAATGCANTGTAGTCCTTTACTTGTCCACTCCACAGTATGGGTATGACTAAGCTTTTAAGTGTCTAAGATGGAAGTATGTTGAGAACATTGATAATTCTGGCATTTTATGTCTTTTTTTAAATGCAGTATACTTAAAATAACATAGAGTAACAATGTTTTTGCTTTTTTCACCCCAAAGTTGCCCATGAAGTAAAAGCGCGGGTGCTAAGCTGACTTACATGTATGCCCAGCAGATTTAAGTGTGCAACAAAGTCTCACCAAATGGGCACATAAGTAAACTTAGCACATGTGCCATATTTATGGGCACATTTGGGTTTTCAGTTTTCAGTGCTGCTGGTTCTTTATATCTAGTAAACAATTTTTTATCTTTAGTTTAGATCATATAAACCTGTACACAACAGATGCTTCTCAATGGACATGATTACTAATAGAAATGCTCATGACATCATTATATTCAGTTGCAGTGTTAACAATTAAGGCTGGATCGTCTGCCCGGGGCTGACAACTTTCAGAACGGGCTGAGAAGTTTTCCCACCCGGCAGACATTCGAGCTAGCTACTTCTCAAGATGGCTGAACTTTCGGTCCAGCAACTAATTTTCCTAAGAGGCAAACACTGTTCAGTTGATACCTTTTATGCTGTTGTTCTTATTTTAAGACCTATAAAATGTCTGTTTCAGAGTGCAGCTGACGGTGCCTACATTTCCAGACATGTTGGTACTAGGATTGGTGTCCCCATCAGCAGCCCAGCTCTCACTGTCAACAGACTGTGTGGGTCAGGCTTCCAGGCCATTATAAATGGAGCCCATGTAAGTTAACGTATAAACCAGTAGACTTCAACCAGTTTTTGTAGTAAATGGAACACATGTAAATGAATATATGAACTAGAAAAGGTCAGCCAGTTTTCATGGTAAATAGGGCTCGTGAAAGTAAGCACACGAAGCAGCAGACTCCAGTCAGTTGCTGTATTGTTGACTTCATACATGTACAAGATATTACTTTTAAAGTATAAAGATTTCATTAATTTTGATGACTTACACAATGCTGTTTTTCCAGTGTATGGACAACCTGACTTCAACATTTGTTGTTGATATTTTATTGTAGGAAATCTTACTGAATGAAAGTCAAGTAGTTCTGTGTGGTGGGTCAGAGAACATGAGCCAGGCACCTTACGCCTTGAGGAACATGAGATTTGGTACACAGCTGGGGGTTGATTACAAGGTGAAGTTGACACACATTGTAGTTGGATCTGATTATAATTAGCGATACATTTTTAAAAGAGCTGGGCCCAGTTTTATAAAGGACGTTTAGCACTAACCATTGTTTAACTCTAACCAGACCTTAACAGTCTGTTAGTTAACTGACCTTTAAATAATTATTTAATCCAGTTAAACACTGGCCAGTTAACTAATTGGCTGTTTTCCGCCAGAATACTGTATATGAAACACAATTTGACCATCTTTTAGTTAATGGTGTTAGGAGAATTTATCCACTGGTTAAGCTTAACCACTGGTTAGTGCTAAACGTCCTTTATAAAACTGGGCCCTGGTCATTATTATCTCAAATGAAGGGATCTTTTTTTTTTAATGTTAACTATGAAACAATAGATATGTAACAAAGATATACAGGAAGAAGATTTTAATGGTGTCTGTTTCCCAAATATTTAATTATTTGATTAGTCAGTGAGGCCTAGAAGCTTGGAAATAGTCATTTGGATACATGTCTTTGAAGTGAGTTATCATCTGAACATTCCATCTTCTTTTCCACCATTAGCTTGAGGACACTTTGTGGGGGACCCTCACAGATTGGCAGATTAAGACGCCCATGGGTATGACAGCAGAGAATTTGGCTGATAGACACGGTATAACAAGAGCAGAATGTGATGCTGTGGCTTTAAGAAGTCAGCTTCGATGGGCTGAAGGTAAAAACCAAATACTTTTGTTTTTTGTTGATTTATTTTTTTGCCATTTGTTATGGTTTTGGTAGATGAATATTAAAGATACATTATAAAAGAGGACCTCTACTTTAAGTACATAACATTTGGATTATATTTAAAATTTGATTCAGGTAATAATGTTTGAAACATATTTTTGTATCATTATAACAGCTGCTGAACTGAGGAAATTTGATGATGAAATTGTGCCTGTCAGGCTTGAAGGGAAGAAAGGTAAGACATCTCCACAAGCAGAGGTTATCTACACTATATGACCTTTGATTGGAAAGTGCTCCTTATGACTTAAGATTAGAACAACCAATGGGATAATTTCTTGATAACAGCAGTAAAAAAATCTTTGAGAACTGGAACTGTCAGGTTGAGTTGTTTTTGTCAGTGAGGACCTTGGGTACAAATGGCAAAGATAAAGTGCTACTTTAGAAAATCAAAATAGCTCATTACATCCTTAGTGATGTTGTCATTGTTTATTTTTTAACTTGTATGTACCCTCATTGTTTCAGTTGTTTGTATGTTAGATTTTGTTTTTCAGGAGAAGAACTGTTTGAGAGGGATGAACACCCACGCCAAACAACAATGCAAGCATTGGAAAAGTTACCCCCTGTCTTCAAGAAGGGTGGCACTGTTACTGCAGGAAATGCTTCTGTAAGTACTTTTTTTTTCACTTCTGAAGATTATATTTTTTATTATGGTCTTTTAATTAGTTTGTAAATGCTTAAATAAATATCCTAGATGTTTCAACCAGAAAAAAAAAAACGTTTTGTCAACTTCAACTGGAGATCATTTCTACTGTTTGCTTATAAAATGTGAAAAGTTGCTTAACACTGATGTATTTATGGGTATTGATTGCTAAAGTTACTTTGTAACCATTCTAAGTTTTTGTCATTTTTGATTTATAATATTGCAGGGTATCTGTGATGGAGCAGCAGCTGTTGTGCTTGCTAGTGAAGAAGCAGTGAAGACTCACAATCTTACCCCTCTGGCCAGGTTGGCAGGATACCATGTTTCAGGTTAGTCCTCACATCTAACATTAAGTTGCTGATGAAAAATAATGACTGACTGCTGCTGAAATCCCTTTTTCTAGAATGGCCATTTCATGAAGTTAATCAATTTAATGTGACATACAAATATATAATATGGTCTCCTAAACCGACAGATATTTTGTAATTTTGTAACCTTCAGTTAGTAATTGACCTACTAAGGCATTGGTTTTTCTTGAGGAAATGTGTGAAAACATGCTACTTTACCTGTATGCATCTTTATAGGTTGTGATCCACATATTATGGGCATTGGCCCAGTTCCAGCCATTGAGGGTTTACTGAAGAAAACTGGAATGAAACTGGCTGATATGGGTTTGATAGAGGTAGGTGCACTATGTAGCTGCTGGATTACTTCTATATGTAGTTGCTATGATTATTTCAAAATTAACAGTTATGATATATCTGATGATTGATTTCATTATGTAAAATATATATTTTGTGCAAGTTTCTTTGTTGAATGTTTGAGTGAGCCGGGTTTTTTTTTTTTTTTTTTTTTTACAATCTCAGTATGGTTTGTTTTTTAGGTGAATGAAGCTTTTGCTGCACAATATTTGGCTGTAGAGCGAGAACTTGGCCTGCATGTAGACATCACCAATGTCAATGGAGGGGCTATAGCCTTGGGTCACCCTGTGGGGGCTTCAGGAACAAGAATTACTACCCATTTGGTGTATGAAATGAGGTAAGACATTTCAGTTTAACATCTGCTGTATCTGAATATGAAATTTGAAATTATATAATTTTTTTTAATAAATCTAAAATACTTTGATGATATAAAGGACAATTTTTTATTCCTACAGACGCCGCAAAACAAAACATTCCATTGGATCAGCTTGTATTGGAGGTGGTCAAGGAATTGCCTTATTGCTGGAGGGTGTCTAAGGGAAAAAGAAGTCTCTTGGAACCTGATGCAAATGTTCTGTCGTTGAGCACAGTTTTTATAGACACATATCAAGCAGCAAATCTAGCATATATATATATTTGAGACACTATCTTGAGATCTCCCTGATTACACTGACCAATTGTATAACAAATTGTGTAATATTTTGAATTATACTTATTATTCACTTCTCATAATTATGAAAAATATTACATATGCCTAATTATTAAAAAAAAAGTTTTGATTTTCTAAATCGTGCTGTTGTTTGTTTTCTTATGAAATCTGAACAATTACAAATATATTAACATAACAATTAAAAAATCACTTGGGTGTATTGTGTAGCATTTGAAATGCCTTTCTTATTTTAACATGCTTATTTCATGCTCAATCTGTTAAAATAGTGCATTTTTACGAAAATTAAACATATTTACACTTGGTATATCTGAACAAAAATTTTTTTTGAAGTAATTTGCCCTAGCATGCCCTTTAATTGGGTAAGCAAGTGTAAAATAAATACTTCAAATTACTCTTTTGAAAAATAGAAGTCTACATTTTAACAAATCGCCCTTAAGAACTTGAATGTAACTGAACAGCCAAAGAAAGGAATGTCATAATTGATTATTCAAAAAATGCAAATGAGATTTTTGGCTGATACTTTCAGTTTGTTGGTTTATACCAAGGATGCACATAATTGTGTTCTGGGTAAAAATGTCCACCGCTGACACCAAATGAACACCCATTCTCAGGGGATGTCCCTGAGTAATAAGATGGTACTACGTAGCATGTGCTGGTCCCCGGGACAATATTGCCTTGGTAGGGTATATTGTGTGAATACTCTTCCCAAGAGGATTCCCAGTTAGAATATCCCCCAGCATCCCCACCAGGGCCAGGTTGTTGCTGCCATGAACACATCTGTTGCATCATTGTTTGCATCTTTGGCGTCCCTGCTTCTGGGGCATGGGCTGGCACTGGAGAAACAACCAGGCATTTGTAAGGAGGAGATCAAGGATATTTGCATGTGAATTTTTCATAATTGTTTCATTTTTGCCAGCTTTAAGCTTGAAAAATGACCTACCTGATTCATGACATGCTGTAAATGGCACTGCTCCAGCTAGAACAGGATCTGGGTCCCTCTCACTGTTTGGTGCTGTTGTAACATACTGAGGAACCTTTAATTCTGGAGTCTTGACATCCACCGTGGTCAACTCATGGCCACTCTCTGTGGACTCCGCCACCTGGAAATGTAATGTAACAGGAAAGTAAAATTAGCACAAACATGTATCTGCTCTTATATACACTGTACAGGTACATCTGTGTATTCTGATGTTGTTAAGGATATCCTTGTAAAATGTTTGGTTTTACAAATGTGTATACTGTGGTGTTTGAACAAGCAAAATACATGCTAAAAATAAATTTTCATCTAACAAAATGGCTAAGCACTTACAGTAAACTCTGCATCCATAGGTTCCAAAGTTGCCTTTTCTTTAGGGTTGGGTATATTCTCTTCAGATATGCTAGCAACAGCTGCCATATTCTCAAGAGCTTGGTCATCAATGAAACTGCAAGAATCCTCAGTGTCACTTTCTTGAGAAAAGTTGAAATCTATGTTGTAGAGGCCATCAATTATCGCTGAAAAATTGTTTATAAAATGTATGGCCATTTAATGGTACAAGTAAGTATAGTGGTAAATCTAGGTCTGAAACCTTCCCTCTATATCAGCATACATATGATTTGCTACTATATTCTTCATTAATGACTTTATAAGAGTTTCCCCTATATTTTGTATAATCAAAACTAACAAGATGAACATGACTTCTTCTTGAGTTTAAGCTGAACTGTCTTTAATCAACAGGCCAAACAGAGAGCCATATGACATTACCTATTCTACTGTTCTTTGATCTTGGCATTGTCCATTCTTTTGGTGAGTGCCTTGGATTCAAGGCCCAGTAGCAACCCTTACTTGTAATAAATTCGGCACTGAACCGCATTTTACGAAACCACTTCTGGTAGAGAGCATGTCTTATTGAACTCTGATGTAAATCAATATGACATTGTTGGTAAACATGTTCTTTAACCAGAATAGTGAACATATGGCAATTTAAGTATTTAAAAAAATGTATGTAAGCTACTGCATGTGAAGTTTGAGAGATTTCTTTTTAATTCTTAATTTAATTAATTACAAATTAAAATGGTTTAAATACTAATTACCCTCCAGCTGTTAATTGAGCACTTTTCCATAAATCTGAAGTAGGGATATTTATTCCTGTCAAGTAAAACAAACAATTATATAAGAACATAATTTTTACTTGGAACATCAAAATATTTACAACTTAAAAAATCTGAAAGGCAAAGGAAAGGTAAATATTGCATTTCAGAGAGCCTTGCTACGAAAATCAAAAATAATTGGCTACAAATGAGTAGTTCTGAATTTATTGTGCCAGACCTCATAACTTTATCTGACAGTTGGAAATTCATGAAGCGAAAGAATCTTAATGATTTTTATTATTTTTTAGACAGCCAACATTAATGAAATAATTGCCCTGTTCATAATGCAAAGTAAAATGCAAGGAATGCATCTAACTGTGCATTTAGCTAAAAGGCAGTTCACTATCTGCATCTGAAAATGCCCCAAAGGTGTATTTCCCATGTCTACATATCCTGCAAACCTATTATCTTTCCCAATTAGACATTAAAAATGATAAAACCACTGAAATAAAAGCATTTGTTGTCAATATTTCCTTCTGAAATGCACAGAAAGACATGGTATTCTAAATGCTATGGGAAACTTACAGAAATAAGTAATCTAATTAAAAATGGTATAAAACATCAAATCCCAGAAAGGGTTGATCAATGATTAGTGTGTAGAAAAAAATGTCCTTTTTTTGGGATGCAAATTTCATTTGTCGTGTGAAGAATAATGTTGTTTCACAAAAGCAACTTATATTTTTAGTATGAAACTATAAAGATTGCATGATTACTAGTTAGTTTGGAAAATTGTTAAAGGCCCAATGTTTTTTTTTTCCACAACTGTAAATTGTGAATTTTTCATAAAAATCTGGTTAATTTTCTCTATTAGTAAACTTACATCAGAGCATGATAAACTTGTTGCACTTGTAAGAGGCCATCAGGACTATCTGCTATTGCTTGAGCTACAAGTTCCACCAGTTTGTTTGGTGGCTTGAAAAGTCTGCTTCCTGAAATGATGACAAAAATTTAGCATTTAGGGAGACTGTAGGTCTGTTTTTTAATCTGATCAAATTCCATGGGCAAATTTATTATCCTCAGTTGCATTGCCATTTAAATGTTTTGAAAACATTAATTCTTTGAAACCTTACAATGTTTTTGATTGCCAGATTAGAAAAGAAAGTCAAGACACACAGGGCTTGCAGTGTGTTAGAAATCTTACTTGTGCAAATCTCTGTACACCAAATTCTATGTCAAGCAACATTTTACAGCCTGAATATGGCATCTAGATGCTGCAAAATGTAAGGTAAAAAAAAAAACAAAACAATACCTTCAGGCAGTAAATAACTGTTGTCATTCATATCATGCAGTCGACCATCAGGTCTGTGTGTGACACGGCAGATTGAGTGCCCATAAGAACGTCGACGTTTTCTTGTTGGAGAGTTTATGTTTTGTCCAGCATCTGAAGAATGCACAGCATCTTTGATAAATGGTTCATTTTCTTTATTTTCTATTTTTGGATCATCTTCTTCTGGTTGACTTGGAAACCGATAGTATTGTGGATCTGGCATAACTGCAGCAACATATGCCTCTGCTCTTTCATGAACATCATATTCTTCTTCCTACAAAGTAATCATGTGTTAGGTTTTACTACAAAATTTCCTAAAAATACATATTACAATTTAAATATCTTATCCATACATAACACTCCAAAAATTTACTATTCAAAATGCTTCTTCACTTTTTGTTAAATCTTTTTGTCAATTTGTCAATCTTTTTACAATTGTTCAATTCTAATGTATTTACCTGGGCTTGTTTAAATCAAATAACAAAAATTTGCTTTAGAATTTTTTTTATTATTTAAACAATCATATTAAAAACGACCATATTTTCATTGGATGTCTTTTATACATTTACACTTGAGAATGTCACGTTTCATAAATAATTTTGCATAATTTTGTTGTTTTCTACTTTTCATTGATTATACAACTTCATTTTTTACCTTCGTGAAGTACAAATCACTCCTATTTGTTCGCATTTTTGATGCAATAGATTTTTTTCTTTCCTCCGTTTTTTGGGGAGTTCTTTCATCTGGTGAAATCCCACCAGGAAAAATTGCTGAAAATGTGAATTTTACATATACAACAAATATGCTTACAGTATTACAAATGATTATGTGATTGTAAGTTACATAACTGATTGAAAAAAATACTTGTGACAACATTTGCTGGAAAGTGACATTTTGAATACATACCAGGACTGCAATCATTTAGCTGCTGGCTTGGAAATGATGGTAGAACTTTTGGGATCATATCTGAAGTTAAATTTAAGTTTATTTCACTGATGCATCCAGGGCTTAAATTCAAATCCCTCAGTAATTGCTCTGTACTATAATTTTCATTACTGCCCTTTTGTTTTACTTTCTTTTTCTTTGGGGTGACGGGCAAAGTTTCTCCATATCCACCCTGTTTATTACTGGGCGAAAGTGGAATTTTCACCTCTTGAAACTCTAAGTCTTCATTATTTACACTTTGAACTCTGGGGCAGTGTGTCTGTTTCCGTTTTCTTTTTCTATAAATGTTATTTTGCCTCTCAGGTGTAGCGCATGTCTTGTCCCCAACTTTGATATAGGTAGATGTGTCCCGTACGTGGATATTGGCACTAGTTTGTACTTGGGGTGAAGAGGTCTGCGTGATCATTTGGTCAGTTTCACTATCTGTTCCCGCCGATATCGCACTCGGTCTTCCCATTGACATATCCATTGGAACGTTCTGTATGGTCCCTAAATTATTAATTACTTTTCCAGGGCTGTAGATCCAATGAAATGTTTCCATTTCGTCTCTGTCGATTTCGTTATGGATCATAATACTTGCTTGATTGCTATCTATCTAAATAAACAAAAAACTAGACAGAACTGAAACCAGGTGCTCGATGTCAGCCATATTTGTTGTCGTCTGCTACAGCGTTTATAGTTTACGTCACGCGACCTCGTTTTCGACAGTCACATGCGCACGTTTTATCCTAATAAGGTGATATGGGCGTGGCTTTGTTTCATTCATAAAATTTCGAAACGAAACGTCGGCACGAGTTGGAAGTCGGGTGCATATTTTGCTAGTTGGCGCATTTCTCAGCATTTCTCGCGTTTTCTTGCGAATTTGATTAGTCCTGCACACACGTAACTCTCGGGCTCATAATCATCTGAAAAAGTTTCCAATATGAAATTTCTGTAAAGTACCTGGTAGGCCTAGTACTCAGTCGGGGATGGGGGCTATCCAGCCTTAGCAGTTTATCCGGGGAGAGTTATTTGGTTCATTTGCCGCAATCTTGAAAAGGAATGGGGCCTAGGCCTACCAGGTACTTTACAGAAATTTCACTCAAAATCGAATTTTCCTACAGGAAAAAAATCCCTGTCGTTGCTCGAGTCTGTCCTGCCTTTGGAATCAATGATTTGTACCATTTCTAATAAAATAATTTAATTAGTTGTAACAAATCAGGGTTTATTCAGACTGCCTTGCCTTCCTGACATTTCAGGAGTAAATTTCAACGTATAATAAAATAAGTCCGTAGACTTAATATAATAAAGTTAGGTCACCATATGTTTTTTCAGTCTGGCTTTACATGCTGTCAGCAATAACTGACCGAGTGATCTCAAGTTATTAAGTTTTGGAGTATAATGTTTGACTAAATTCATTAGACAAGAAGGGGCTGATTGTTAAAAAACCGCATGCATAAAAGTTAACATTTTGAGTGAGTTTCTTGCTCTATCAGGGAATCAGTGTTCAAAACCAGTATAAAATAATTTTCCTGGGAGGCCAGTTAAAAGGCACGCTAAAATATTCTGAATCTGCTAAAAAATTTAAATTGCTATCTCGGTGCAGCCATAAACATTTGCATGTTTGACTAATTTTCTCATTTGTAAGGTCTGAATTTGGTGGTGGGGGGATAGCTTTGCAGCACATTTAGAATTTTAAAGATTATTTTGGGTTATTTTCAAACACAAATAGTATTTCCTAAGGAGTGCATGGGTGGATAAATTCTTTTAATTTGCCTAAATTTGCAATCAAGCAAAGGAGGTATTATAATTACATATATTAATTTTTTAAAAATGGAATTGGCCAATGAGCATTAGTAGCTTTTTAAAACAACATACAGATTATGGCAGTCCTGAAAGATTTTTAAAAATTATTATTTCTTCATTTAGTAATTTATTTTGAACAGCAGCAGAAGGCTCTTAGCTGTTATACAGGCTAAATATGGTAAATGTAATTCTGGCATCAAATTTGTGGGCATAATTACATATATTGCAATTCTCCACCAGTGTTACAGTCTGTCAACCAATGTTATTTATCTAAATATTTCCCTTATACTGAGCCTTTTAAGCCTTCTCTTTTAAGCCTCCTGCATTTTGATCATATTTAATGTTTTTCACTACATTTATTTTCCATAAAAAGAGGCAAATAAATTTATATATTTAACAAATTTATTCACTTAAAAAATTAAATAGTAGTGAACAATATTCATCAAAGTAGAATTCAGTAAAGTTTAATAATGAACCTTACAACTCTATATGATAAAAAAGCAGGTAATATCGTCTCCTAGCTGATTCCATCACATTCACCTCACTTGAACCCTCTAAAACATTCAAAGTAATTTTTATTTAAACATAATGCACAATAATATATAATTTGCACTGATCACATTTCGTTATCTCTAAATTCATAAAATATAAACCACATTCTGCCACATACTTTTCATAATTGTAATGTGAAGATATAATTCATTTTTCTGATTACATGAATATACTACTAGTGAGCAACCAAAACTGTCTCACAAGGAAGAATTTCATTTTGCCTACCAAAACAACAGATTGTGCCCTCATTCCTTCAATAAAAGGGGAGAATAAACACACACACACACACACAGAGGCCCTGAGAATCACGTTTCCAAAAAATCAGTACTGTCAGAGTTTTTATTGTTGTATTATACACTTCCAGCATATCCAAAATTTTGAGATGTGAATGACACTGGTAATAAATATTCCCAATAATAGTTCATCATGTAGAACAATCAAGAGTTAAGGAATAGCTAAGAAACATAATGATTGTTGTTTACCTGAGTGTAAATCTAAAATGTACCCAGGTTTTTCAATTGATATCTATTAATCACTGTCAATGTTCAGAATTTAAATAATGCCGATTGAATCATATAGAGCACAAAGGTCAGCAATAGTTCCTTATTAACACAGCTATCTAAAATAATTAGCACACACGATGAGCAACAGAATTCCTAATATAAAAGGGGATTTCTTTGGTATATTCATCATAACCAGTCCTGATTCCTGATGCTATGTACATGAATCTGTGCAGAATTTATTGTAGTCTTCTCCTGCTTTCTTCAAAACTTTCATTGCCACTTCACCTTAAAATAAAAGAAAAGAATAAGACGCTAAAATTTAAAAAAGGAGGAACACAGAATAGTTCCTAGTTCTCTCATGGGAAACTCTTCAAGTTAGAAACTACTAACTTATAATAAACTGTAAAACACCAGTCAGACAAGAGCCCAGGTTTTAGAATAAAAAAACATTTATCGTGGAACCAAACACCTTACATAAATTTTTTGGGGTTTAATTGTTCTGGGGTCATGTAAAAAAGGAGAATTCAGTGACTTCATTGGAAAAAGCTCACGTCTGACAAATAAAGGGAACAATTGTATATTGAAAATAAAAATAATTATTAATAATAATAATAATAATAATAATAATAATAATAATAATTAATAATGAATACTATATAACTGTGCACTTCTGGTTAGCATTTATGTGTCTGTACATGAAAAATCGAATAATATATATATATATAATAACTGTGCACTGCTTGTATGATGATCTATACAGCACTTACTTAATGGATGAGAGCTGGTGCTGCTGTACATGGCCTTCTGTTGGACTAGCCAGGAATCCCCATATCCGTGCATTTTACATGGTGTGGATGCTATCAATGGATGCCATGGAAACAGAGGAACTCCAGTGTGATTCATTATTCTAGGTGTCACATTAGTTAAGGGTGCTCTCCCTAGACTGTTCCAACTCACAGTAGTGTTTGTGTCCACAGAGTGTGTGTTGGTCTGTAGCAGAGACGAGTGGCTTTCAGACACATCTAGAAATTGTCCGTCTACAACTTGGCCCAGTGCCTGCTTTGCTCTCAAGACAACAAGGTCATCAGTGTGGGCCAGGTGTGCACAGGTGCAGGAGTTTGATGTAGACAGTGACAGTTCATGTCTACCACAGTCATCAAGAGACAGCGCACCCTTCTTGTCCGAGCCTCGGCAAACGTTCTCACTGTCAGCAAACTTATCCAGATGTGAACTGAAAGCTAATAACCCAGTGGCCTTTGTGATTTGTTCTGTGTGATGTTTGGCCACAGAATACCCATCAGGAATGTTACAATCCAGAGCCTTGGTGAGTTGACTCTTGGAAGATGCTCCTGACAGCCCAGGCTGTGTAGCATTGTCACTAGTTCTATTATTGCTACAGGTCTGATAGCCGGTGTCCTGAGTGGCAGAATGGGTCTGTTGCGAGGAGTTGGTTTCAAGCTGAGTTGAATGCATTGGTGGCAACAGACCGTTCTGAAATCCTGTCTCGGCGTTGAACGATTTGTTGCAGTTGATGCTGGTGCAGTCCATGTCCACTGACTGCTCTCTGATAGTGGACATCAGTTTAGGACGGAATTTGATAGGATTACCACTCTCGGCATAGAGGTATGTATTGTCTAAGTGTTCTTTGCCATTAATGTCTGTCATGTCTACATCCATATCTAGTGAGACTCTTCGATCCTTATCCAAGTGTTCTTTCCTACAACTGGAATTGGCTCCCAGTGATGAGCTGTTGTTTTCTTTATCATCATCTCCACAATCATCCAAACCTAAAACATTACAAAATTCCAAGTGTGTAATTACACTGACAAACAGATGTAAATTTAGATGTTAAGACAAATCCATGTATTAAGTTTTGTACAAAAAAAACACTGGCTCTTCACTTAGATTCCATGTCTGCAAAAGTTAGCATTTTAAATCAATTAATACAAATGACTCAACCACATGAAACGACACCACGACAACATCTGAGAAAAATACTTACCACTGAAATTCAAAGCTTGCACAGGACTTATCTTGCCAGACCCCACCAGAACTCGTGTCTTCTCCAGTTGTATGGGGGATATCCCAGGACTCTCTGGCGGGAGACTTTGCTTGCCAGTGGATGGGGTGGCTTGCAAAGGGAACACCGAGGGAGTGCCTGGACAACATGGAATATTATATGATAAATTAGACAGGAAAATAAACATAAATTCTAGCAACAATGTGCCAAAGAGGGGCAAATAAAGACCAATTTTCTTTAATCAACAAAATAATTAGTTTTCAAGAGGAAACTTTTGAATACTTTTCAAATCGCCCATTATCTTATATATCCCCAACAAAAGCTGCATGTAAAGACTGATAAATTATTGAAGGCATCTGCCACTGAGTCAAAACGTTTCTTTTTTACCTGAATCAGCAGCCTTTCTATTGTTTTGACCACTAATTGGAGATAATTCAGGAGAAGACAAATGATCTAATCCAATGGAGCACCTGCCAAACCTGGCCTCTGCACTGCCAACACACTTCTTACTCACTATGATAGGACTAGAGGAAAACTGAGCCTGAAACAGATGAAGAATAATTAACTCATCACCACACCTCAAGGAAATAATGCTGGTTGCCACTAGTAGACAATATGCACAGTGTATACTGTACATAATTATAAGTTGTATACACTGGATTAAAAAACTAAACATGCACACCATAAAACATTGTTACATATAGTAATCTAATTAAAACTACCTGTAATACTTAAATAACTAGCTCATTTTAAGAGCAAAAAATTCAAATTTTACAATTCATTATCAAATTTAACAGAAACACCAGTCTAAGCAGACACAGAATAAAGACTTACTGATACGTGAGCACTGGCAAGTTTAGAGTTAGGCGTCTGTGTCTTGACAGGAGAAACTGACAGCGAGGTATCACACTGCATCTCCCCAACTGCTTCTCTGCCAGACCTGAAATATTATCAATGACAAAAACTCAAGTGCTGAGTTTGAGGAAAAAATCATCAATTATCCACATTATACTTTCAAGAGGGCCATGTGTAAGATAAGTGTATACACTAAACATGTTTAACCCCTTTTTAAGTTTATTATTACGATTATTATTATTATTTTAAGAATGGTAACACTTATTGATATTATGTATAAAACAATGTTGATCAATTCTCAATGATCGTAAAAAAACAAAATTAAACATAAACATTATATGTCAGTCCCTTATCATTTCACTAGTGGCTGGAAAGACTTACTTGACAGGACTGATTGCCTCTTGCTCCTCTCTATGACCATGAAAAAATAACTTTCTTCTCAGTGAGGAGTTACTCAGGGAGTCACCAGTTCCCTCATCAAGGTGAGTGTAAAATTCTCCTGGTTAATGTGAAGGGAACACTTCAGTACACACTTAAAATGCCGAGATTAAGATTAAGAAAACTACACCTTCAAACACTGACAGATTAACCGTCAACGAATAGAGTAATTACATCTTATATTAAATTTTTGTTTATTTTCTTTCAAAAATTATTATGCATCAAATGTGAGAACAAGCAGAGCATTATATTACCCATACAGATCTTAAAACTATCACCATGACACAAAGCTTACCCAGGATCTTCTGCAGGTCAAAGTCAACAGGAAGAGTAAGTGTGGTCTGGCATCCAGCTGGGTAAGATAAAGGCATGACATTTACACCAGTTGACAGATAAACATTTAAAACATCTGAAATATTCTGGGATATAAAATCAGTTATATCAAAAACAATATTTCTTAATCCGAATTAAATGATGAGAAAAAAAGGCTCCATAGATAAAATAGTGCAGTTGATCCTAGAAATTACATGCCCTTACCATCTCGTTTTTTCCCTTCATATAGTGAAGAACCACGCCCAGATTTCTCCTCTTCAGCAACATTAAAGGCTCCAGAAGTATCTAAAAACAGAGGGTCACAAATAATAATAGTTAATTAATTAAGATGAACTCAAAGAGCCATTTGATATTCTATTCACCAAAAATAAAAATAGATGAAGATTAATTAAATAAACTAAAATAAATTCAAATTTAAGTTGCTTGGTATAGTATCAACCTAAACACTGTTGAATTATAGTCCTTATCAACAAAAAGGTCAAGTTCAGCACTGTTCCTACCCAGCACAGCATTGTTCTTGCTGGCCTGTTTACTACTGCTGTCCTGCCAGGGAGAGGGAACCAGGATGTTGGTGGAGAAGAAAGTATCTATGGCCTTCTGTGCTGTGTCCTCCAACTCAGGATCATGACTACACAAAGACAATTATATCATATACATCACCATTATTGTCATACAGGCTAGCTCTTTGAGTGTCTTCTTGACGTGGTTTGAAAAATAAATCTGATCCAATGAAAGTCACATTTTACTATTATAGAAATTATTAGATTTATCATGTTTTGGATTAATAAACTACACAATAAACATGACTGGGTAATAAACACCTACAAAGTGGACATGGTATCCTGCTGGAGTGGCAGCTCCTCTATGTCTGCTGGGTGGAGGATTGCCAACTGATCTATGGACCATCTGAATGGTTTAGGCTCCTACAACAGAAAGCATTTACAGATCCGGGCTAACAAGAGAAAGATAATGGGGTAAGTCAGCACCATGTCAAAAGCTAAAGAAGGAGAAGAAAAGCTAAATTTAAAAAAAAACCAAGAGAGCCCATATTGTCACTGATGATTAAGTGAGTTTTCAAAAATAATCAAGTAACTAACATAAATAAGTAAGTAACATCATAAAAAAAATCAGTTAATTACATGTTACAGTCTTTTATAACACGTTTCTTCTGTAAATGCAGTGTACAGTACATGTAAGTCTCTTCTTTCAGTTCTCACTAGTTTAAGATTATAAAAATAGGCAATATCTTACATTTCTTGTGGGAGAATAAGGATCTATATTCAGCATTAAATAGACACATTTTCAGCAATAACATTCTGATACATTTGCTACAGATTGGCTAGTGAGCAGTCTAAGTAGTTATAATACCTTTTCACTTTCTGGCGTAAACTTTTTCTCAAAGACTCCTGGGCTGAATGTGGACTGATGAAGTCTGTCCAGAAGGACTGACTCAAATGGATTCATGGCAATGCTACCACTGTCTCCAGATGATCCATATACACCAGCTTTACGAGCAGATGTAGCACTCTGAAATATGTTTTATCCAACAGAATATTACAAGCTGGCAAAATTATTCAAATAAAAATCATTGATAACAATTTTCCATGCAAAAGCAAATGAAAATTATCAAAAATTATTTTCTATTTGACAATTGCATAAGATTTAAGTAACCTAAAGTTACATTGAAAAATATTAAGTTAAAAAATCTTTAGATAAGTAAATTAGTTTAAGGTAAAACACCTTACATGAGCCATTTTGCTTTGAATAAATGTAAAATGAAATGCCTTTGTTAATGCAGACATCCCAAAGACTGGGACATGACCATCACCTACCCTGAACCTCTGTGATACTGGTGTCCTCAGTGATCTGGCAGGAGTTTTGAACTTGGGTGTACCAGCCGATGATGCTGTCACCATTGGACTGTGCTTGGCTGGAGTCTTTAACAGTGGACTTCCAGGTAAAGAAGACACTGCTGCAAGAGGTAAAATACCACCACCACTTTCCATCATGCTGAAAGTGTAAACTTAACATTGTATTTTAGGGTCCACATTTTCTAGATATTCATGAATCTATGAAAATGATTAACATGCCATAAAGTTTTAATGTCTTCTTATCCTGGATATATCTTAATTGTAATCAAGTCAAGCCAGCTGAATCCTGCCTCAATGAGCTGACACACAATTATCAAAGGAAAGCTTTAATGATTGGTGCTGTGCCTTGATCTAGCTTTTTAATTAAAATTAATATAAATTGAAGAGCGTGCTCTCTATAGCTGAATATCTTTAAATCGTTAGATATTGTGAATTTTTGTAAATACAATTATGGCACAAAGTTACATGCAACTCTGATCGCACAGTTAAAATCATGAAAGTATCGTTGTACAGTGTACACATGTAAGTTACATGGATCTCGTTGTAACTCTCTTCCAAAAAAACCCTTGGGCTGTAAAATACCATAGCTATTGCGCTTTAAGTTTTTATAAATACACTATTGAGTAACCCACCTTAATAATTTTTATGAATTTTTAGTGTCATGAACTGCATTTGAGTAAAATTGCACATAGATCGTTCCCTTAGCTGGTCTACTCTGTGTTGTGATAGCATCAAACAAAACTTTAAACTTCACCGCCTCGGTGTCAATCTACCAATCGAAATAAAGTAGGTCACGGTAAAGTCAAGGTCGTTGTAATGGCGGGGGACAACGGCAAGCAAGTGTCCACAGCAAGAGAAACGATGGACAGTATGTATCTGTTAGTCTTTGAGAAAAATACAGGCATTGATTAACTGCCTATGATATTGAAGGTCATGAATATTGTTTATCTGATAGACACTGCTTTTTACAAAGCATGAATTTGACGATGTAAATGACGATGTCGGTAGCATTGAGACTCAATCATTTGAGTTCAGTTTTTCAAGCAGATATCAACACATTTATATGACACACAGATACCTATGTATCTAAATTTGATTACCTACATATCTGAGTTTGAATTAGGCGTTCGAAATTTGAACTGTCTTATTTAGGTTTAAAGCTATTCTAGTTTCAGTGACACCATTTTTTTTTTCAGACGCCATCAAACTACATGTAAAAGGTATTTATTTCAACTGTTGAACACCCCACTTTTATTTCCAGGTGTTATTTTCTCCTAGAAATTTATAATCACAAATATATAATTAATAAATTAATAATAATAAGTTTCTTTCACTGCTTTATTTTACAGCTCTTCTGGAGATCTCTAACTTGCTGAATACTGGTCTTGATGCAGAAACACTGGCCATATGTGTCAGTTTGTGTGAAAGTGGAGTGAATCCTGAGGCTTTGGCCACGGTAATACAAGAATTAAGGAGGGAATCTGCTGCATTAAAGGTAAGATTTAATGCCTCACATTTTAATGATCCTAAATAATATTTCATTTAAGCTCCAACTCAGAAGTAAATGATTCAACTGAAAAATTGTTAATGGAACTTAATTATCTGCATATTAATTTCATACCAGCAGTTGTAATATATATGTCATTCATGATTGTTTCAATAAACAAGACATCATGGTTGACCCTTGTATAAATATCAAATATGATGTGCATAAAACTCAAAGGAAGTCTATATTAGATAGAAATAAAAACTCAAAAGCTAACGTGTTTAAATTGAGTAAACTTAGATTATTAGTTATAATAGGAAAATTTCTGAAATTTACTATTTTTTCAATATAACCATCTTTTTTATCTAAGCTCACACAATTTCATGTAAACCAGCCATACAGCTGGGCGGTTAAGAGGTATACAATACAGAAGTTCCTGATTATACAGCAAAGTATGCAGTGACTTCAGAAAAGAATGTTCCTAATTGCAATCTTGATCCTTTTATTAATACACAAAGTTCAACTCAAACAGATGTATAATTTGGCAGTTACAGGGCAAAAAATTGCAGAAATCCACATAAGATCCCACTACAAGGTTTTGTTTATTTATTATTATTTTATTTTATTATTATTTTATTTATTTATTTGTTTGTTTTTTTTTCTTGATTAAAAATAACCTGATTTTATGAAATTTTCATTGCAGGAAACAGACAGTAGCGGAGGACAGTCAAAACAATCCTGATGACAAATGATTATGTAAATTTACATTGTTTGAATTCTACACTAAACATGGCAGTGAGAGATAAAACACCTGCGGAGGCGTTGGAAGTGAAGTGGGTCATCCAAATAATGTTAACACATGTGGATACAGAATAAAGAATATTATATTACATCTGTGACAGGACTCTTTACATGTCACATGGATACAGAATAGAAGAGAGGACATTGACAGGAATCTGACCTCATATAAAGATATTCTGTTTGACCGGAGTCAAGTCAACACTTATGCATCAACATGTGAATAATTTGCAAAGTACATAAATGCAACTTTAGCTTTTTACCATGTGCAAATTGAAGCTGTAACATATACATGTTATTTAAATATTTCAGTACATGATAAGTATCCTCTGTGTGTTTCGCTTATAAAGTACTGATCATTATTATTATTATTATTTTGCCTTGCATTGAAGAAAGGCTTGGAGTGAATGTTAAACCTTTATATGGCAAAATTAAAATTTTCCTATGAATTTTAATGCTTTTAAGTTAATTACCAAGTTATTCCATATCCAAAATGTTCACATGATTACAACCCACAAAAATACCTAGATTACTTTTTGATGTGTATTTCTTCCAATCTATAGAACTCTCATGTAAAAAATTAATGGACTTAAATCAGTGAAATTATTTTTCAAGCACGTCCGTTAATAATGAGATCACAAATGGGGGTTTGACTTTTTAAAATACTCTTCTACAGCACAAGTGTCTCTGTGCGTAGATATTCTGTTGGGGCATTTGTCCAGTAAAGGACAAAAGAAGAATGGATTTTATTAAGGATATCATTGTTGCCCTAAAGGGGTATTAAAATGTCAGCTGCTATGATTGTTTGAATTGGGAGGTTAAAGGAAGAGCGAATGATGAAAATTTCAGAATGTGAATATTTACCTAAGGATGGCTCCATTGTGTCCTGCTCCAGACCATATAATAGTAACAACTCCCCTTCTTACACGTGTTCGCTCTCCTTCCATTTAGATTTAGATCAATAAATACATGAGACATCGAGCAGACTACCGCCATATATAAACGTCGGATCTTTTGCCAGCTAAGGGGTGGAATGTCAACAGTTTAAAGATACACCCTTAGTAATTAATGCCATGAATATGATTTCGCTTGAGGGGAGGCAAGTACGTAGGAATGCCTTCTCCCTACGCACAAACATTCAAACATTAAAAAAAAAACTATAAGACAAAATTAATCTATTGGTTAACGAGTGCGACCGACCCTATTTTTTAGGGAAAATTTCAATTTTCTGTACCTATTTTTTTCTGTAACGGAAAAATATACTGGGTATTGATCTGGAAATGAATAGTTGACACCCAAGAAAAAATGTCCCCCTCCCTGAAATAAAAAAATTAAAACACCGACGGACCCTGAAATGTAGCATCATATGTCAAAATTGCGTCTGCCGTCCCTGGTTACAAAGAAGCACTGCCCATAAACCAACTTTTATTAAAAGTTAAATTAACTATCTATTGTGTGTCCTAACGTAAGCAAACGAAGACAAAGGTTGGTACAAAAGTTGGTACATTTCCTATCCCTGTGCCTCACATATTTCAGTGTAAAATCGTTCTTGTCAACTAATTGATATACTTTGGCCTTGGGTTCCCCCCTTAGAAATAAACCGATTCTGTTAAAGGGATAATAACTCTTCGTATGAGATCTATATTTTACAATAAAAACATTGTAAACATCTCGTAGAAATATGATATACCACAAAAACGGCAGTTATAGCTATTATTCTGATATCTGAGCTTGTCTTAAGACCACGTGACCTCCATTGATGGCTATTCACTGTTATAATCACTTAAGAGATTATAACAAAAAAAAACTTTTTAGAAAAAAACTAGGGACTAACTTTGAATGTAAAAATGGATTCATTTACCATTGGTAAGTATGGAGAAATTGTTGTTTAATCCAGGAAAATTCATTTTTTGACCAAAACGAAGAGTTATTATCCCTTTAAAGTCGATCACTCTCACACCCTGTTAACTTAATTTTCTCACTTGGGATAATATGTTTTAAGGTTTTGAACTCAAAATGCCTATAATTATACACCGGTTTTGTTATGTGATACACATCTGAGATTGGCGGGAGTCTATTTTCAGCCCTCTTTGCCAGGTGAATCGTTCAATCTAACTGGTAGTACAATAACAGGTAACGATTCCACGCGGGTCTTTGTAAAAGCAATATGAAAGGAATATATACGTCGCAAATAAAGTGCTTTGTGTACATCACTATATGTCCATTGAATTCTGTGACAGAGACGGATTAGAAAAATAGCTCGTTGCCAAGGCATAAAATGAGAATCGCGCGAAGAATATGTAAAATCAACCCATGCTAGATTTTGTTTGAAAGGGTTCAATGAGCTGTTGCATTGCGATACATCACGTAGTAGTTAAAACAGTCGGTGATGTTATACGTGGAATATGCAACATTTTCTGTGGCTACTCAATAGCAAACAAAACTGCGCATATGGATCTGTACTTGTAAGTGATAACAGCACAACAGAATTTAACAGGATGCTGGCGTAAAAAAAGACACCGAAAAGGACTTCCGAAACTGAAGATTATTTCTTCTGCCAATTCTGAGTGTTGTGATACAGCCATAATTCTGATTGAACCATCAAGGCCAAAGCTGGTGTGCTTAGAACAGACATTATGGCTTTTATGTACCAAAAAGTACTGTCAGTGATCACCCAGCCACCGGATTCCAGACCGGATGCTATGATCGAGCAGCTGATCCCCTGGTTCCAGAAGAAATCCGAACTGTTTAGATCAGTTCAAAAAGGTGAGCTTAAAATCTAGGTTAGTCACAAAAAGATGGTGTTTTTTCCTATTTTCACTGCAGTATCATTTTCATTTCGTTTTATCATATGATACTTCAGCCTTTTTTTTCTCTTTTGAAAATGGTTGTTTTCACAAATCTTCCTGGATCCGCTAGGGTCTGTCAGCGGGCTTTACAACCGAAACAGGTGATATCATAATTGAGTTACGAAATCATTGTTTTCATGTCGTTTGTTAAATGAACATATAATGCCAAAGATTTCAAATTTTGCTTTTACTTGGATAATACTTACTAAGAAATGGATCTAACAATTTGATATTTCCTTTATAGATATTTTAAAGGACATCATTCGCAACTGCAATTTTCAGCACTGTGACACAGATTACGTAATCATACACCAAGAAGAAAAGGGAGACAGGTATGTCGTTAAATTTTTTACATTTTCTGTCTTTAAAATATCTAGACGCGAATTTGCATTTTAGTTGGTGCAGGTAGATACGTTAAACTTCACTGAGAATATTTGTTCAAACAAATTTATATTCTTCTAGATTTTATATCATACTCCACGGACAAGTTTCTGTTTACTTCAACAATAAACTTGGAGATGGAGAGATAGTTTTGGAGAACGAAGACAGTTCTGTTCGCTCCAAGCCTCTGGACAGGCGGCCATACGGGGCTTACGTCACAAGCCTGGGTGAGTAGAAAACAGGAAAGTCTCTATAAACTTGTCAACTTCAGATGTTTATTGGACATCATCTCCACAGAAAAATTCTTTGTAACGATATCAGAAAAAAACACTGATACTAATTTTCTGATGTGCCACTTTCGACAATCTGTGAATTAATTTTAACAGACAAAAAAGTTTTTCTCTTAACTTATCACGCATTATTTACTGTAGATGAAGGTAAAAGTTTTGGTGAAGTAGCCCTGATTACTGAGGACTGCGTCCGTACCGCCTCCGTTATAGTCGACACCAAGACAGATTTACTGGTCGTCAGCAGAGAACTATTCAATCGCTGTCTAAGAGCCGCCAAGGAACAAGAGTTTAATGCAAAGATGGCCTTTGTAAATAACTGTGAATATTTCTGTAGCTGGCAACCCAAGTGCAAAAGACAGCTTGCCATGAGCTTGATCAAAAGAACCATCCCCTTTGATGGTCTGATTTTAAAGCAGGGCGACCCAGTGGAGGGGATATTTTATATTATCAGGTACTCCACATCTTATCCTGTACATAACTGTACCTGTTTATTATGTACAAGAAACAAATCGTTTTGCAGACAATTATCTGATCCTTTTCAATATCAGGTACATTTTGTATTAATTTTCATATTTACGTACACATGTTTGTATCTTTATTGGTCGATTTACGTTTTGTAAGTGATTTTTGATGGTATTTGTTGACAGAGGCCAAGTTAAAATCACCATGCAGCCATCACTCCATTGGCGGCAGAACAACTTCACCAATTTCCGAGGAAGCCATTGGAGCAAACCTGACGGCAAAGAAGACGGGTGAGCAAATCGTAAATGCATAACTTTGTCCACTTTCGTTCTATCAATAAAACTTATTTCGATACGTTTATAATGGTCTTACCATCACTGATAATCTTATTCAGTCAAAATCAACAACATGACTAATATAACTGAGTTTTTTTAAACACTTCAAAGTGTTAAAACACTATTTTATGTTTACAAGACGCCTGCTCAGCAAAGAAGTTGGAGCCAATAGAACAAAACCCTTGACTGTCACCAACTGGCTTGGACACCGAGGCAGAAGTGTAGAGGTGTGCATTTCTGGGACAGGGGAGGCTGTAGGTAAGGACGGGGGTGGTGTGGGGGAACATTGCCTGACAAAACCCGGTGCAAAAGGAACGGGTGTCCCCAGGAACCGTAGTCCGTTTCCCATTACTTTGTACAGGTGACATTTGTCCCATATACTAACCCCAATAGTCCAACTAACCCCAACCTGTACTAATTATATGGGACTTCCATTCCCAGGACTACCATTCTTGTTACACCGGTTATCACGTAATGCATTTATAGTGAAAAACCAAGTCCTTTCAAAACATTTATCAGATTTCAGACTTGGTTCTTGTTGGATGGAAATTTAATTTGCTGAATATAGACTGTTCTTTAGTTCTTAATCCTCTATTTAACCTATTTTAACCAGTGCCTACAAAGATACCCTCTGAATGCGAAAGCTGAGTAAAATACAAGAAAAAAGAGAAGAGGTATTAAATTTTATTGCTCCAAAAGTTGTATCAAAGGTTCTCGAATAAGCAAGAACCTATATTTGTATATGGTATCGCAAAATATCTTGTTTTTTATTGAAGGTGACATAGAAGTGTCTTTCGATGTTCCTCGCTACCTACAGACTGCAGTTGCTGCGGTTCCATGTGAAGTTTTTCTCTTGACAACCAGGTCTTATGAACGTCAGTTAATGAAAAGATATTCCAAGACGGCAGATGCAATAAAGGCACACTGCAAAGCTAAGATAGAGAGAAGGTTGGATAGACTGGGAAATATGGACGACACCCATTTTTTACGCAGCTTGCATACGGATTTACAGTTTGGAAGAACAGACAAAAGACAACAAAAGTTATCTCAAAGTTTAAGTGGGGTTACTTTCGGCAAACAATCCGGTTTCATTCATCGAGACTTTGACTCAAAACTGACAAAAAATAAAATGTTTTGGAACAAGAGCAGAACCGACGACAGAGCGACCAAGATAAATCCATGGGAAAACCCGTCTCACCTAAGTAATAATGTTTCCCCAGGAAATACTGGCGAAAACCGATCAATATTTACATTCAGTTGCCACAATAAAGCACTTAAGGATGGTAAAGTCAAAGGCGCGGTAGAACCTTTCCGGGACTGGCAAACCAGCGACGAAGCATTGAGTAGTCTGGAAATGAAGCTTGATTCCTGGCACTCTGAGATGAAATCAAAAGACAATAAGAAAGAGCGAGTATTTCGACTGCGGCGCTTCTCAAATGATGTAAGTATTTGTATGGGCAAGGTATCTTTAAAGGGTGAAGTGTGACCGATGTTTATACTGTTAACTTATATTTCCGTGCACTAATTAGAGTCGATATTTTGAATGTCTCACCATAGAATCACTGCTATTCAGCTTTAAAATGTTCTACATTGTTCACCTTGTTACAGGATGGCACGAGAAGGCCGCTCCCAGGACAGAAAGTCATGCTATCTCCCAAAAATGCGAAAGGAAAACTTCAGTTTAGATATACTCTGAACAGTGCTTAAAACCTGAACGTCTACCAAAATGTGCTCGTAGGTAAAATTGCGACTCATCAGTTGAGAACAAGAAAAAACACAATGGGATGTACCAAGCTCAACTAACGCAATCACACCTTTGCTGCTATATGCCTCAATATATTGTATTAGCGAAATGCATTTTAAAAAGATAGCAATATTTGAACTTAGACGGACAAGGCTTTTGTTGACCGTTTTATTATTATAATTATTACCATTATTGCTTGTTCATTCAAGGATATGTCAAGCACTGACGTAAATGTAGCGGTACTGGAATACAGGACTGTTCATTTGCAAATGCAACGCAAGGCCTGTCATTATATTCCAGGCTTGGGTTCATGATCAGGATGTTTAGTACAGAAAGGGTCAAGGATTTTGAAGATTATCTTAGGAGAATATGTCCTTTCTCCGAGCAGAATACTTTTTAATGTGTTTACGTCTTGGATGAGCACTGACACTTTGAAAACATGCACCTATTTAATAAAGGGAACGCCCCTTCCGAAGATCATTCTACGTTCGACTGCATGTGCGTCTTAAGATTTTAAAACGGGTATTTGGTTGGATAATTTGAAGTCTTTCATGGTCTAGAGATAAGAGATACGCTTCCCAAAACTTATTTGAATAATTTTCCATAACACTCGCCTTACTGGGCAGTAGGATAGGCAACCATTGGGGGCTTTAGACATATAGGCATGACTGGCAATAGCAACAGAGCATGCTGAATTTGGAAAAGGTGTAAATTAAGAATAAAATATTTTGTGGAGTTTTGAACTTTTCATTGTGTATGTGTTCTATTCTATATCATCAAATAAAATGCTCTTTTTATGTACACACGCAGCAGTGTCCTCACATATTCCCATGTCTTGAGAATGTCTGTGTTGCCAGAGCCGGGACCAGAGCGGGGCCGTACACATTTCTTGATACTGCAATAAAAAGAGTACCACGGTTCCATTCTTATTTCAGGCTCACACAGGGATTATTCATGGCCAATTTCGCACTATCCGTTATTTGTTTTTGAGGTTTTTTCGATAATTTGTCTTGTGGACAATATATGTTCCAAATGTTACTTCTGTTTAACCTGAAACCTGCTCCTGGATCTAAAATGCATTTTTTATATTTTTTATAATTTTTAGTTTGTTTTGTCTTGACGTACAGGCATATTAATGCTATTGACTTTTTTGTTTGAGAAGTGACTCATCCTTCAGTGTGTTTAATGTGCAGACTTTTATTTTCATTTTTGTTTCGATGATTCTGGCCAATCAGTAGCAGTCCAAGCCTAGTTTGTTAGATGCTCAAAGTTTGTATATTGTTGTATCATTTTATCAGTCTTCATGCCTCAATCAGTATATTTGCTTCCTTTAGCTGTCTGACTACCTAATATAACAAACATTGTCAACTAATAATACTGCGTAATTGTAACGGAAGGCTGTTGGAACAAGCCCTTGTTTTATTGGGATAATTTCAACACATTTTATTACTGATAGCGTTACAACACTCCTTCAGCATTTTATGGGCTGTTTTGCAATCTGGGTGCCGGGTAGCTGTATTCGAAGCAAACTGGAGATAATTTTTTACAATGTCAGGCCCGTAGCCAGCAACTGAAAAAGTGGACCTTTTCCCATAAAAACTACATGTACCTAGATCAAATTTTACCCAGAGTGGACCTTTTCCCAGCAAAAGGGGAGGTTCTTTCGAACCCCCCGACCCCCCCCCCCTGGCTACGGGCCTGAATGTTGTAAGTTCTAAGCATCATCATTTTTTTTCTTGACATGACCCACCTGTATTTTACAGATAGTGGTAAATGTGTTATCTTGCGTTTAAGTAAGATGTTTTTAAAATAAAATACCAAGAAAGGCTTAAACGAATGCATTTTAATAGAATGCGCTGAAAGTGTAACGTATTACAAGGGGGCTTTTCTGATCGAAGGATGTAAACTGTACCCCTTACTGCCATAAAGTAGACTTTTGAAATTAATGTGGCCATGTGACCTGTTGAAACCATAATGATTCTAAGCCATAACTGTAGGACGATTTCCTCGATGTTTATGGCACCATAAAGCCAAAGTTTTTCAACAAGTCGAAGTAAATTTGCTCCAGCAAAGGAAAGACAAATCATTTGAGACCGATTTAGATCTGGTTTATGAGCAAGGTTCAATACGCTAGCAAAAATAGCTTTGAACGTTTTATTTAACATTTCAATGTTTTAAAACTGTCAAGGCGTCAATCAATCAAACGCTTCTGAAGATTTCAACTTTTCCATAAAATACGTCAAGTCTTCATATCACATTGATCATAAGCGATGGTACACTGGTCGCAATGCTTTAAATTAGCGTAAAACATGGAAATAAGCATTTCAATTCACTGATGACTGTTTCGACTGTTTCTGTGTCGGTTGAAAGCAAACAGTAGCAAAGCATTAAGCAGATTTTGACCACAATTTCCTCTCGCTCACTGTTCACGCTGAGAATTAAGCGGTTTGATTTCGCAGAAAGAAGTAAAGATATGAGAAGCCTTGTGATGTTGTTTCTTATTGCATACTGCCAACTTTTTCAAAATGATCAGCAAATTTTCTCAGAATCGGTAATATATTATCACCCCCGTCTTGGCTTTTATTGCAATTACACGTGAGGGCAAATTGTTTTACAATGTTCTTTTACGTAATATATGAGCATAACTGTCGTGTTAGCATTTTGGAAGTCTTGTTGACAGGCTGTTATACATGGCTGACAAGTTAGAACTCGTGTTCACATTAATTTCTTGCACCACAATAACTGTGAAGTATTTCCTTTACTGTTGAATCATAAATCTTGCCGTAAAAACATTGAAGTTTATTATATTTCTATCTGTCCTTTCAAATGTAGAATCATTTAAATGCGTAACAGTTACAAGGAACTTGGATCCACAACTAGGTCTTACACCAAGAAGAGTTTCAGACTTAACTACGATCTTGAACTGTACCGTACTTAACACGGGTTAATGGGACATTGATTGTTTAAACAGGGTGACCATTTCATTTTCCTCGATAGCCGAAAATATTATATCAAATAGGACTTTCGGGATACTACATGTACCATCGTTCGTTACACTGACTGACAACTGCTCCATCGTAATTTGCATCGATTAATCGAAGCTGAGATATCATAATAAACAACAAAGATCGTCATTGTCATTAAATCTGATGTGAGGAAATGCGTCTTAAGCAGACATGTGTTAATTTTCAAATCGCCACACCAAACTAATAAAATCGTTTTCGCCGATGAAAAGAACCCATTACTTTTCAATAATGAGTTTTACGTTTGGAGGAAGACATTACAATATTCACATAAAGAACATTATTATTTCGTTTGTGTTATAAAGATAAAAACGACATTAAATCGTTATTTACACAGTGGGTGATACTAAGCTACTTCCAGTTTACAGAAACCCTCCTATTTACCTACAACATCGACGCCGTAATTTATTGTGGACGCGGCAGGGGTTCAGACCAGGTTCAGACCAGGTTCAGAGCAGGCCGCTGCGTTTCACATGAACACTATGTCCTGAGTGAGGTGACGCAGACCGACTCACCCGGAGTCTCTTGAACAAATTACTGTCACATTGGTGCATTGCTATCAATATTTCAAATCAAAACGCGTCACTGCCTTAAAAGGCGCTTGGAGTTAAATATAGTGCGTCCTTGCTTGGTCTCCCAGACCTCTTGTTTTTCTTTATAATAAATTGGCGACAGAGAGGTATAAAAGCATGTCAAGATGTTATGTTGAATTTTTTATGATACTTACTGTAGCTGTATAAACAATTATTAGACGTGGAGTACAACATTTCCCAGATAAAAGTCTGCGGACAGGGAGAGGTTAGTAAAAATTACTTTATCATCAGACCCATGAAAGTCGTTAAAACATAAAAATACAGATAAAATTTTTGAATATTTTATGCCCAAGGCCATGTTTTGTTAAAATCTATGTCTTAACACGCACAGTAACCTCTAACTGCTGACGTGGAAGGAGGAACTTCAGAAACTGCGGGCAGTGGTTTCTGTAAAGAAGTAAGGAATTAGGACTTTTATTTTCAAGTTTATAAAAATACACATGGTTAGCTTCTTATAATTGGTGAAAAGTTTTTATTATTAGAATTACTTACTTTAACATGTATCATCATTAGTTTAGTTTTTATTTTATCTTATTATTGTTTCCTTACACAAGGTCTTATTTAATCTTGATTTGTTTCAATGTGGTTATAAAGACTTAACCTCATCGCCCTTCACGCTTGAATCAAGTCATATAACGCAGAGAAAGCATTCCTAGTACTTCATGTAGAAAATCTTTGAAAATCGATAACTTTCATCAGAAACGTTATTATTAATGGGCCTTTATTAGACTTAACTGAGAACAAATGTAAAAAGTCTCTGGTGGAAACATCTCTGTTATGAATAATCACTATGAATGAGAACCAGAATTATCAATTAAAAGCGTAATTGGTATTAATTAGGCTTACACGTATATTTTACCATGTGGCGTTGGTTGTTGACAATAGAAATAGGAAGATTGGGATTTAACGCGTGCGGTTTGGTTTCAGAGTAGAGTTTTCACGAGAAGTGTTCCCAATGGCTTTGATGTATCAGAAAGTGCTGGGTGTGATAACGCAGCCCCCGGCCTCTAGACCCAATGCTTTGATTGAACAGATACGACCTTGGTTCCAGAAGAAATCTGACTTGTTTAGGAGGCTGCAGACAGGTATGCGTGTTTTTTTTTCTTTCTGAATATTCTGTAAGCCAGACAGTTTAATCTTAAACATGTTTTGATAACACGAGAGGTTATGCTATCTTCCTGATTGCCAACGGTGCTTTTGCATTGATGTATTTTTTTATAATAGTGATCTCACAATAGAATTCGAACATTTCAGATTAAGCACAAAGTTCATTTCATACAATCCTAAAAATTTAAGGGTTCTCTAGATATTTTCAAGTATTTATGTAAAATTGAATTGTTATATTTTACGATGCTGTCATATGCTTTTTTGACTTTTTGCTAGATTTTTCAGTTGTATTTGAAATCCCTCATTGTATAGATCGTGGCTCACGCGTTTCGTCAAGAACGCAAATCGAGTCTTTGATAATTAAACAACTCTTGCACAAGCGAAACATTTGTTAAAACCTGGATTTGCTGTGTTTAGATTAAACAAAAACCTTCACCTAAAACAGAAGAGAGAAATGTTGCCGTCAGCTGTCTCTGGCAAGGGTATTCGTTCTACTTTTATGAATAAAAAACATCGTCCTTTTAAGCAAGCCCCATTACTTTAATAACTTAAAAGCATTCTGTAAATTTAGACACCCCGCTAAGTAACCAACAGGATCCGCGAAATCGGGGCTTTATTTATACACTTGCATGATAGAGTATGCCTAAAAACTGGATCTCTGCCCCCTCCATCTTTAAGTTGTTACAAGGCCGAATATTATGAAATAAACCTCTACCTGATAACTTGAAGTCACCTTCGGTTAATATCCCACATATTGAATGTAGGCTTAGGGTATTCTTATAATACCTTATAACTTTTATTATACTTACTTTTACATATTCATCATTTGTATATTGGATCTGTAGATTTTACCAGTTTCACGTTGTTACTGAAACGTGTCACGTTTCTAAACACAGAAAATGTAACGGAAATTTAAACAAAATAAAAGGTCAACAAATGAAAGAAAACAAAACATATTTCATTCCAGATATCATGAAAGACATCATTCGTAATTGTGAATTTATGACGTGCGAAAGGAACGATATTATAATCCGGCAAGGTGACACGGGTGACAGGTGACACTTTTTAATTTTAAGAAATTTAATCTAAAATTTAATGTATTCAAATACATTTTATATGCATTTAGAGATTTTTTCACTAGAATTTCAGCCAGTATTTCGTATTTGAGAGTTTGAGAGTAAGTGAGATTAAAAAAACTACAAATAAGTGAGTTTTGTTAACTTTTTTAATTTGAATATTAAAAGATGTTTATTTGAATAATCTATTTATTCTTTTTCACGGAATAGGTTCTACATTATTCTCAGTGGACAAACTTCAATTTATCTCAATAATAAATCAGACGATGATAATAACGAAGTGGTGGAGGTTGACCAACAAGACGAAGCAGAGCCGACATTACCCAAGCCGCTAGACAGGGGTGCCTTGGGGATATTTATCACCACATTAGGTGAGTTGAAGAGTCGCCGCTGAACCGCAACTATGATTATGTAAACTGA